AGCGGCCTGAAAAACAACTGGTCAGGCGGCTCCATTACAGGTGTATCAAGGAGATTATCTCCTTGATCCATTACGGTCGCTTTACGCGGTTTACGAGTTTTATCCTCGAGTACTTTGTGTGTGACCTCCACACCCGCTCCTTTCAACTGACTCGCTTTGCTACGCGTAATCTTATCCTCTTGTGAAACACCACTGGTGCCAGCCTTTGCTGGATCGTCGGTTATTCCTTTTAGTACTTTACTGGCTGATTTGAGGACGTCTTTTACGCCCTGTTTCAACCGATCAATAGCCGGTTGTTTTCTCTGCGGTGAACGATTTACGGGCATTATGCCGTTAAAGGCTAAACGATAGAATTCAGAATTGAATTCTAAACTTATTTCAGAATGGGTTTTTTACACTGCATGTGCTATACACCGCATTGTAGGTCAATGCGTTTCACTGCGTCGCTGCTTTGCAGCCTGTGCCTGGGCGGCTATAAATAGCTTGCTCGGCTTGGCTCTATTGTTCTCCCTCCCTCTCTTTCAAGAAAAATATCTGCTGATAATATCAGCGAGTGCTTTGACTTCTTCGTTTGCGGAACGGTCGTTCCGTTAAGATTAAAATGTCATCGATATACGGAACTAATGGCTGTACAAAAACAACGATTATCGTTGGTTCCGTCATGTCAAAGAACAGATTCCAATAGTAATCAAAGAAATACCATTGATAACGTGTGCCACGTTTCCTTTACAGATAGGGATCGCTAAATCTGACAGGGAAATAATCCCACTTTATCGTAAAATCTGTAAGGATTATGGAGGTATTTCCTCTGCAGTTTATCGTCCCTAATTCGGGAAATGTACGGTCTACTACGACTTGTTACAGTAGAACTAATCTACTGTTACTCATACGATTAGCTTACGAATAGAGGAATCGCTTCCTCGGTTCTTCTCCTTGCTGGCGGCCGCGTGCCTTCCGAACCAGCGACGCTCCGTGCTTCGGTTCTCTGGGAGGGTTCTCCTGCTTCTGCTGCTGTTGGCTACCGTTGGTGGATCGAGGTCTCCACTGAAGGAGAGGAAACTTCCGTGTCACGGCGTGTTCAATGTAACGCGGTTATCGAGTGCAGAATGTCAACAAAACTACGGAAATGACAGGGATCTTAATGCATCTCCACCATCTCGGAGAAGCGCTCGCGCTGCATAGAGAAAACACAACGAAAACACGACTCCTCGAAAAGATCACTTTATTTCACAGAAATAAAGTCTAGAAAAGGACATCAGAAACAAATCTAAGGCGAGAAAAAGGGCATGAAATCGTAGAAAACTAGGAAACGATGTTAACGGTTCCTAGGTTGGCACTCGAATGGCAAAACATGCTTTAGCATGTGTGCAGAATGGCGAATGGTGAGCCGATCCAGTAATGGTGAGGCGAACACGCCAATATCCTGTGCACTACGCACAACACTCGGACAGTAGTTATCCTTTTTTTAATTATCAGCCCTACGGGGCGGACGGGCAAGCCGACTCCAAGCGTTGATTTGAACTGAATTGAACTGCACAGTTTGTGAAATGTTGATTGGTGAAAATGACTTAATCAAATGAGTGTAGGCTACACCAGATCAATCTACTGTGAATAGAGGGATCTATTTTGAGCGTATGCTCCGCCCACCGAACCGAGATGGCTGAGACAATCTTATTTTAACATGCGCCGGAGGGGTTTTCGGGTTATCTTTTGTTTCTTCGGCTTTGACGTCTTGGTGCAACCCGAATGGTGTACTAATTAAAGCTTGCTCTATCTATAAAATATTTTTGTGTTTTTGTACGATGAGGCGTACAGTAGTTATTCCTTGTTTTATTATCAACACTACGGGGCGGACCGGTAATCCGACTCCCAAGCCCTGATTTGAACTGAATTGAACTGCACAGTTTTTGAAGTGTTGATTGGTTAAAATAACCCAATCAAATGCGTGTAGGCAAAGCCAGATCAATCTATTGCTTCTTCTAGCTTGTAGATTTGAACGTTAAAGACTGTCTTTATTCTGGGTTCCAGAGCTCCTATATTAGCTTCCAGGATAGCACCTCGGCAGAGTTACACAAAATTAACACCTCTGGAGTGCTGCCGTGTATTGGATATTTCGCCTCTTTATGTGTTGACTGCGAGTCTGCGACTACAACAGCTTGCAGTAACTGCTTCAATCGCGGCAGGATACCTGCAAGTGCCATCATGGCGCAGGGATGCGACTCGTCTGTCAGTTCGGAACGTCGCGGTGCAGTGCCTCTGACGTCCAGTAGGTGGAAAAATGTTCTGGCCAACAGTGAGCTGACGGATGTGGAATTTTCCGTCGGCCGACAATGTGGTGAAGTGAAGATCCTCCGCGCACACAGGTCAGTATTCTTCTCCAACGCGTTCAAGTAGTTCCACTGCAGAAGCGTTGAACATCGTGATGTTTTCTACGACAGATTGGCGCTGAGCGTCGGCAGCGATGTTTTCCATACCATGTTTTACGGGAGCTTGGCCGAGCCCACGGACAAACCCATCGATATCCCCGAAATTCCTCCCGATGCTTTCACCAATATGCTCAGGTCGGGCGATGCGCAAAACACGTTGTAATCATTATTGTAACTACACTAGCCAAACGCCATTAACGGAACCTTCAACAGGCTATTGGAACATCTTTGTGTTAATTTTAAAAACTTATACTTTTCTGCCTTGGTTTTACGAGATACAAGTCATCTAACCTAGAAACTGAACCCAGGACATACAATCTTAGATAGCATTTGACTGAAACCTATTGTATCCTCTTAGCTATATCTACACTGATTCGGTGGAGAATCTGCAACCAGAAAACGTTCTTCAGACCCTGTACTGCGCTGAGAAATATGATTTACCGTGGTTGACGGAGATCTGCACTGACTTCGTCCTCCTTCGGCTGAAGCCCGATAACTGCTTGACGTACCTGGAAAATGTAGGGGCCTTTACCACACCACCTTACAGCAGGAATCGTGTTTTATTCTACGTGTTTTTAGGCCGTACGCTGGGTCCCGGATTGTTCTGTTGTGATTGAGAAATGTCTGAATTTGGTCGATGAATTCTGCGCGGCCGTTCTCCAATCCAAGGACTGGGCGAAACTGGAACGGACCACGCTGGAGATCGTTTTGCAGCGTGATACTCTGTCGGCGGATGAGATTGTTATCTACTTGGCTGTCGAGAAGTAAGCAACGGAAGACCAATACAATTTTGCCGTAATTGTCGAATCTGCACCGTTTTGGTACTAAAGCTTGATCGTCGTCGAGAAGGAGAGCTTATTTCGGGGATAGGGTGGCATTTTTGTAAAACAACTTTGGGCATTAAGTTTAGAAATAAGTTTTATTTTTCCTGTCAACTGCGCATTCTGTTCTACTGAATTTAACGCAGTACATACATAGTTACATCATACATACACACCCAAACGTTCTTTGAAAATTCGTATATCCGTTCCTGTGTCGTACGTTTTTTGCGCTGGGCGGGGCAGGTGCAAATTGGAGCAAATTAATGGTGCAAAGCAGGGGCAAATTAATCACGGTGTTTAGTAGCTTGGTTAGTGATGCACGTCGTGATTCCTCCTACATTTTTCGGCTATTATACGGTGCATACTTTACTGATAATTGTTGCTTTAGATGGGCGGCCGCGGCATGCGCGCGCAACAACCTGGACACATCCGCCGCTAACCGTCGGGAGATGCTGGGACCGGCCTTGTCGCTAGTGCGCTTTCCGCTACTCACGGACGCCCAGTTGGCTGACGGTCCTATTGAGGTAAGATGCAATTTCAGCCGCGGTATAGTTAAATAACACCGTGCTGATCAATAAAATGGTATAGAGCGGATTGCTGTTATTGAACGAACTGCGCGACATCTACGTGCACAAGCACACCACGAAGCTGGCGAAGCAGCCGACGGCCTTTCGCACGGATCCACGGGTGTATTCAGTCCACCGCACCGACCAGTCCGCCTTTAAACACCGGGAGAAAGTCTTCGTCAGATGCCCGGGTGGAGTCGGCTGGTACCCGGCGAAGGTGGTGGGGACGCGGGATGGCCGGATGGTTCTGGAATGGTACTCGCAGCTGATGAAGGAGAAGACGGCCCCGCCGGAAGATATCATCCGGGCCGCGGATATCCTGAGACGCGGCCGGCGCATTGAGGCCTTCGACGGCAGTGTCTTTGTGGAGGGGACGTATGGGACGCGACGCGCGACGCGGCATATCGCCAATCTAGCGGGTAGCGAACGCAGTGTGGAGTTCGCCGATCTGATCATTCCGGAGAAGGAGGCTGAGCAGTGGATAACCAAGACTGCTGCTGCTATTGTAAATTAACTGGGTTCTGGTGGTTGCTTTATTCTAGTGAGAGATCGTCAAGGAACCATACCCTTCGGCTTCGGCGGATGGTTATTGCGTTAAGGTTGTGATTGATGTGCTGATTTTACCTTTTTGCTTTCATATTTTTCTACGTCAATCTAAATGTATATTTCTATTTGTCTGTATTAGCTTTTATTTTTCGTATGCATGAAAGCTGTGGCTTGTTGCCAGCTCATTTTGTGAAGGATTAGCCTTATAGGCATATACCCTTCAAGCTTGTACAACAATTTTCAGCTGTAAACAGTGTAAAGCCAAAATGTAAGTCGCGATTGATTGATTGTTTATTGAGTAGCCAAGCCGGGTACAACTCGCCACTATCACGTATTCTTATTCAGGAAAGAGCATCAAAATAATATGCTACGGCTAGTGATAGTCACCACACTCAAAATGGCACTAAGAGGTATGTGATGTATCTGTACAGTATACGGGAACGCATTGGATGGTAAGCCGCTAACGTGCGCCAAATCAGCATCCGCCGGAACAAGCTGTTCAAAGAATCAGAGGCAACCTCGTGGTAGGTTGTTACTTGTTACGTGTAAAAACCGGTACCTTCGTTACCGAGTGGCTGTCGGCTGAAAGCCTAAAACTCTGCAACAGGTGTCAGCTTGTCGGTTTTTTTCAGAATCGCAGTTTCTGTTGTAGACTTTTCAATTTATGCCTTCCAGTTTTTTCTTCACTTTTGCATTCTTTTTGACACTGAGAAATTTGGAAAAAGATTATAATCAATAGGTTAACACTAACTCGCCTTCTGTTGACACTAATTATTATTAGACACTACTGCACGAGTAGCCTTATTGTAGCAGTCTGCTACACTTCGATAATATCGAACGTTCTCCAGACTCCAGACTCGCTCTCGTCCAAGTTGGATTGCGCAGTGGCGCAGTTAGTGCTGGATCATGTCCCAACCATCGTTCATCAGTGCAGAGCGTCGAGGCACGGTTCCTCACATCGCCAGTCGGATGAAGGCCGTCTTGGCTAACGGAGAGCTCAGCGATATTGAATTTGCCGTGGGACGCGAGCATGGGGATGTGAAGATGTTTCCAGCCCATAAGTGTGTGCTGCTTTGCCACACGACGAATGCATATGCTGATATGCATGTCTTGACTCCTGACATCACTATGTAAATGCTGCAGGTTCGCTCTGAGCATCAGCAGCGATGTATTCTACACCATGTTTCACGGGAGCTTGGCTAAACGCGACGCAACCATTATTTCCAAATTCCAATGCCTGAAATCCTCCCCGAAGCGTTTGCTAACATGCTCAGGTAAAGTGTAAATAACCAATGCCAGCCATCGTTTACTCTTTAACTAAAGACGGCGATATGCTTGCGCGAGTATTTGCATGATAAAAGACTGGGGAATTCTTGCTGTTGAAGGTGGTTTGCGTTTGCCACAACTTACGCACTAGGTAATCATTTCACGGAATCCCTTCGCAGCTACAGGTTCTGCTCATTTTCAGCTACATCTACACCGATTCTGTGGAGAATCTGAAGCCTGAGAACGTCATACATACCCTGTACTGTGCGGACAAGTACGATTTGCCTTTGGCGGACCGCTGCATTAGCTTTGTCCTCGAGCAGATGAAGCCTGAAAGCTGTCTGATGTTCCTGGAAAATGTAAGTCCGCATAAACGATAACTTATTACTGCGATGCTTTTAACAAGGCATCGCGATTCTGTGTAGGCGCTCCCTTGGACGCCCGATTGTGACCAGATTGTGGAGAAGTGCCTGGATATGGTGGATGAATTCACTATGGCGGTTTTCCAGTCGGATCACTTCACAGAGATCGGATTGAAGACGCTGGAGATGGTTCTGCGACGGGATACACTGTCGACGGAAGAGAACGTCATCTACATCGCTGTGGAAAAGTAAGTTTACGCTTTTCTGCAGACAACCAATTGAGCGCATATCAGTATATGGATTATATAAAAATATCGTAGATGGGCAATAGCGGCTTGCGCTCGTCAGCATCTATCTGCCTTCATCCGTTGCGAACCGTCGTAAAGTGTTGGGTAATGCTGTGTTCCTTGTTCGCTTTCCGCTGCTGACCGACAAGCATCTAACTACAGGAGCAACTGGAAATCGTATAAGCTGAGAGAAGAGGTCTTTATTTCCTGTACGAACGGCTACTGGCATCCTGCAAGGGTTTGGGGAGAAAATGAGCTCAATCTCTCTCCGCTACGGGAGGAGAAGGTGGAACAATCGGTGGGAAAATTGTCCTCGCCATCAGAAAACGTTCGTGCTGCGGATATTCTAAAGCGTAGCCAGCCACTGTATGTTTACGTTGACGATGCCGTTAAGGAAGCCAAGTATGGTCAACAGCGCGCTGGATTGCATACGGTTAACGTCGCCGGCCGTGAATACAGTGTGGATTTTATGCAGCTCAAGTTCTCCGACAGTCAGATTGACGAGTGGAAGGCGGCCAAAAAGCCGTTTTGGGCTCTGGATTAGATGAGACAATGCTGACATCTCTTCGGTTGATTATATTGTGATGAGCTAATACAATTCTTTAGTGTTGTTATTGTTGACAGGCCACGTACGTTGCGCCACGTTGGTTCGGTTCGGTTGTAGCTTGAATGAGCATTTTGGAATTCGATTGCTTTTTTTGTTTTTCTTGATGCCGTGGAATGCGGCGCATTGTCGACTCGAAAAACGGTGGTATCAGAAACACTGAACATCCTATGCCTTCTTGAACCTTTTCGAATCAGCCGCAATGGGCGACTACTTGCTTTTTGAACATTTTTTTAACGGGTAGCTTTAAAGTACCCACTACTTTGGCCTTTGGATGTGGAACCTAATACCTCTGCGCCAAACACAACTACCTTGCCATTCGGAGCAGTTGACAGTTTACACTGTAAACTTCACACTAAAGCATCGAAGAATTTCGGTCTTAAAACCCAGCCCGCGCAACTGCCGATTATAGCCGTACAGCGTACAACCGGCTGTATCGAAAACGCTTTAAGTGGCCAAATTAAACTTCGCAGTTCAGTATTTTGATTTTTATCCTTTCTTGCAATATCCTTTCTTGCAATAAGCAACACTCGAATTTTTGAAATCTTGGCTGGTGACGATACAGTCAGTACTTAACTGATTCAAGCTGGGTTTTGGACTTCCTGCGCTCAATTTGACTTCTTAAACCGCACTTGCGAATTCCCGTTAACGATCCCGGCGTTGCCATGTCTCAGCCTGGACCGTCCTTGGATCCGGTAGATTTCGCGGGGCTAGCGACGATCAGTGATGACGTGCCACGCATTTTGTTGAATGGCGAAACGAGCGATGTCCAGTTCGCGGTGGGACGGGATTATGGTACCGTGAAGATCATTCCAGCTCACAGGTGAGCTTATACTTCCAGGTGGTCCTGCACTATCCCGTACTTACAATTCCGCCTAATGCACGTCTGGTTATATTCAAATTTTTCGGCAGAAGCGCCCTGAGTGCCCGCAGCGCAGTGTTCCAGGCGATGTTCTACGGCAGTTTACCGGAGAGCGGCGCAACACCCATCGACATTCCGGACATCCACCCTGAGGCCTTCGCTAATATGCTCAGGTATATCAGTCGTAACATCATTTCCTCATGTTTCTTGGGAAAACTGGTGACGCGATCCAACAAACATTGCAGCTATATCTACACCGATGTGGTGAATCTCACCTTGGATACCGTCTTCCCCACAATGGCCTGCGCAGATAAATACGACGTGCCCCAGTTGGTGGTCAAGTGCGCTGATTTTGTTCTGAATGAGCTCAACGATAACAACTGCCTGGATATGCTGGAAACTGTAAGTTTTAGTTGCTTTTACTACTGCAGATTTTACCAAGGTGTGTTGTGTAGGCGATCTTCTACGCCAGCGCAGCGCCGAGCATCCTGGCAAAGTGCTTATCCCTGATCGACGATTCAGCAGAACTATCTGGGAATCGGAGCAGTTCTGTACACTTGGAGAGCAGGCGCTACGCATCATTCTTCAACGGGATACGCTGACCGCCGAACAGGCCACCATTTGCTCGGCGGTTGATAGGTGAGCCAGTTTAGGCAGTCAGTCCCAGTACTGCCCGGCGATTCCTAGAAGAAGATTTCATGTTCCGTCGCGTGCACGTGCTCGCAGCCCACCTGTCAAAAAACGATCGGTTATAATTCGGCCCACCTCCCAGCATTCTCAAAAGGATGACTGCCTAAACTGGCTCACCTATCAACCGCCGAGCAAATGGTGGCCTGTTCGGCGGTCAGCGTAAATGGTGGCCTGTTCGGCGGTCAGACTTTGTCTCTTATCCGGTTTCCCCTCTTAACCGATACGCAGCTGCTGGACGGTCCCGTAAAGGTATGTATGAAAAAATGCTTGTTAAGTTGTTAGTAATAGTTCTTTTAGATTAGATGATAACTAGGAATTTCACTTCGTTACTTTGGCGATTGTCGAACGTATTCGATAACAGGTTGTGTTTTTTGCTGCAGAGCGGACTCCTGCTGCAATCGGAACTATTGAACATCTACCACTATAAGTATGCCACAATCAAGCCACAGATGCCGTTCTCTGCCGAGTCACGACAAAGTTAGCGCGTTCATGCGTTCGTTGATAACCTAGTCAAATCACCACAACTCATTAAACTGACAGTAATATGTACGCTAGAGACGTAACACGTCACAGAATTGCTGTAGGCTAATACCAGCACAAAGCTACGTCATCTTCATGGATCCCAGCTTGTTAATGCTGCAATGTAGGCCGTGATCTACGTGAGGGCCTACTCCCTATATCTACACCGGAAATACAGGAGAAACGGGAAGACGTAAATACTGGTATTTACTGGCTTCCCATCACCACAAAAATCACCAAAAAAATATAACATCAATCACACACACTATGACACAGGGAGATCTGGCTGACATGAAATCACATCCTATCCGACTGGCTGTGCAGACTGAATGAATAGTCTGTGCTGGCTATGCTGCAAAGTACTATGCCTGAAAGTGAGAATGGCTGATGTACGAGTTGTACGTAGTGTACTGCACGAGTAAACTCGTACAAGCACATACGCTGCCGTGCTATGGCTCGCAATGCCGTATAACAGTGGGAATGGCTCTATACGATAGTACTGCCTGACGATATAGTGCTGGCTCACGCGTACACTCCCGATAGTACAAAGGCGTCCATAGCCTGACTATCCTGACGGAGTCTCTCTCAATGCGTGTAACTGACTGCAGAGTGGTTTGTTGCTCCACTCCGAACTGCACGACCTGTATCAGTACCAGTTCGCCGTGGACAAACCGTCTCTGCCCTACTCTACGCGACCTCGCCACGTCAAGTGTCATCGCATCGGGGAGATGGCGTTCCATGACAAGGAGGAGGTGTTTGTCCACGAGCCATTGGGCTGGATGCCAGCGGAAATCATCGGTGTGCGTCAGGGTGAATTTCTCTACTCTCGGGGCCGCTGGATTAGTCGCCCTGCTGGTCCTGGTAATGGAACGGCTGCTAACTGGAAGATCTTGCGGGCCTCCGATATTCTCAAGCTTGGTCAACAATTGCTGGCCAGAATTGATGGTTGCCTTCGCGACGCTACCTACTGCCGGACACACGCTTTTCAGCATGTTGTTAAATACAATGGTCGCGAGCATACTGTCCGTTTTGAAAATCTGCTCTTTAGATTAGCTCATGTCACGGCATTCCAAAGCAACCACTGAGATATGAGGCTGATGGCGAGTATCAGTACCTTCTGGCTTTACAAACCGACACTATGCGGCAAAAATTGCCCTAGGAAAAATTGTTCCAGCTGATGTCGCTTTTTGTGTTCACGACTTGCGATGTACTAACGGGACTTTCCAGTGAAGTTGTTATGATTTCAATGATTACCGAATTCGGTTGTTAGGGTGCGGACGGAGACCGTGGACTGTATTCGAGATAACGATTGCTCTAACATGGGATACGTTCAAGATATAATTATACGCATCAATGCCATCATTACATGATTTACATCCAACTTTACTGGTAGAGATTCATTATAGATCTGTATCATTACCGGCTGGTCGCGATAACAGTCGCTGTTTTTCTAAAACCTATCCTTGCCAAACCTTGCGCTACTGTATCGGGGACCATATTCCCCCCCTTCTACCTAGTCTAGTACCGAAAAGGTTTTTGTGTAGGACAGCGCCGCGATAAGTCTTTGTGGGAAGAGTAGTACAATAATAACAATTACAATATCTGTCCAAGTGCAACAGTAGTACAATATCTGTCTTAATAATTTCCTGTCCTAATAATAAGAACAAATTTTACCGACTTCGCACATTGATTTACCTCTGTGTACATATACTGTATCTATGGATGGGTCGATATCGTTATGAAGTTAACTATAGATAACGTTATGCCGACATGTGCTGCGCCATAAAATACGAATTGCCGTATCTGATGGAATACTGCGAGAACTTCGTCCGCGACGAATTAAAAGCCCACAACGGTTTGCTGCACCGAGAAAACGTTAACGACTTTACACAGTACCAGGGTCCAGTGCTACAGCACGCGCTTTGCAAGCTGTTGACCATTACAATAACGAGTGATGAGTGGTTGAAAATCGCTGTGCCTGTGTTTGTCTGCATTTGTCAGTTGCTGAAGTGGAGACGGCAACGCGACCGGATTCTGGAAGAAGAAGTAATAGATAAATCCGATCTGCTATCAAAAAAGTTACGTTGCAACGGCCAGAAACTCAGGTAACGGATTTGCAGCGCAACTTCGCAGTTCATTTAGCAGCCTTCGTCATCCACGACAGCCCAACATTTGCGTGCAGCATCAAATCCGCGAGCCTTACATCCCGGCCTCCGTTCAAAGTGACCCGATGCTGCGCGTCCTCCTCTGCATGATCGTATTCTGCATATTTCCCCACTGACCGCACATACACTTTCTGGCCTTTCACCAGGAGGTCCTTCACGGGAATCACTTTGTCTGGCGTTGTAACGCCTTCCTTGTGGTTTATACACCAAGTGTACACCAGGCGTTCCGGCTGGATCTCGGTTATGGTGGCTGGCTCCCACCACCCTCCGTCATAATCTGGGTCTTGCAAAAATATTTTTTCTCCCACTGCGAACGTTTTGCGGACTCCTGTCCGGCGCGCTATGGGAAACGCCAAATATGGAGACTTCTCCGTGGCATTTTGGTACATGAACACGCTCAACAGCTCCATTTCAGTTAGAAGACCACTCTAATACAACGACACATAAGAAAATCAGCTGAACGAGAAAGATGTCATGGAGTTTTGTTTTTGCTGCTTGTGTAATACCGATTTTGATACGTTTTAAATATGTATGTCTAACAGCCATAGGGGAAAAAAAGGAATTCTAAAGAATCGAAAACCCAAAGCCAGTCTTACCTTTCCGGGACCATCAGCCAGTTGCGCACCAGTCAAAAGCGGAAACCTTATAGAGAATAAAGCGTCACCCAGCATCTGGCGCCGATTAGCGCCAGAAGTATCCAAGCCGCAGCGAGCACAGGCTTCCGTTGCCCACCTGCAACAATAATTCCGTGGTGTATAATCCAAGAGTCACCCCATTACGTAGGCGCGGTAACTTTAATTTCCCGAAGAAAGTTAGAGCATTGCCGGGCGTAGCGATTGCTTGATTCGAAAACTGGGTAAACTTTGAAGAAGCTTTTGAAACTGGGTAAACTGCTGTCACCGTTATTTTCTGAGTTTGACTGATTTCAGTTATGTACAGTCTAAGGTATTCGATTGACAAATGTTTCCTTTCCGAAAGTTTTGCTTATGCTGTGCTTACGGCGCAGCTTTGTTAAACCAGATAATAATGTTCTATCTGCACACAGCAACATCTGGAATGTGGGATATCTTCAACTTCCCTACCTTTCCACAGCCAAGTATACTATGTTTTCCTCGGCAGACAGCGTATCGCGCTTCAAAATATTGTGCACTGTATCCTGTGAGATGATGTCGGTGAATTCCTTCGACTGCAGAATTGCAGCACTGTTCAGGTCCACCAAAATCAGGCACTTCTCCACGATGTGTTCAACATGCCAGTACACTGCCTGGAAACAAATGATCTGCAGACATGATGATCTGTCGCAATATACTGTCGCTACAACAGACTTACGCACATTTTTCAGAACAGCCAAGCAATTCCTGGAGTTCAGCTGCCGCTCGACGAAGTCCGCACAGACTTCCATCAACTGCGGCACATCGTATTTGTCAGCGCACGCCATAGTTTCGATGACGTTGTCGATACTGAGATTGTCCACGGCATCGGTGTACAAGAAACTGGAGCAAGACTGAGTTTAACCACGATGACCAAGGCGCAGGCAATTTAAAAACATTCTGATAAGAGAATGATAAAAGACAAGGTTTTAAATAAAACGATGAACTTTGTTCCTGACAGATCTGTCAGTAATAGAATGGGCATCGCTATCACTCTGAAGTCTAGATCAAGTGACAGTGATGCCCGTTCTTCGCATCCCTTTAAAAGATGCAGAATATTTTGTCGCCCAGGGCGCTTAATTCAGCAAGCACGCATTTCTAGTAGGTCAAGCGTCGGAATAAGCTTTCAGACTTTCAAGTTTCAGTTTCCAACCGAATTCCTTTGAAGTGTCAGAATTTCAACAAAGCTTTAGGATCGTTGTTCCCCATTAAAATAAAAGAATTCGTGAAGCACCTTAGCAAATTGGCGAACGCGTCTGGATGAACATCGGGAATATCGATGGCACCTTCACACTTTTCAGGCAGACTTCCGTAAAACATTGTATGGAACACAGAGCTGCGAATGCACAAGACGAACCTAAACCCAACATACACACGATCACGGTTAACAATGTCGAGGCAACAATAGCTGGGTAGACCTTGGAAGCATACAACCATGATCCATCTTACTTGTGCGCGGAAAAACTCTGCATTTTGCCAAAGTCACGACCCACGGAGAAGATCACATCACTCAATTTGCCAGTAACAAACGCCTGCTTCACGAAGTCAGCTATTTGGCCCATTTTCGAGTCAGAATCTCGCACCTCAGGAGCCGCCGAAAAATTTGCGTCCGTGGACATGGCTAATTATCTCGCTCAATAGTTAGAAAATTAATCAAACCGTCAAAAAAGTGGAAATCTTAAAAGAAAGTACAAATATACGGCCAGAACAAGCAGTTTTGTGCAGAAAAGCAAACTAAAAACCGCTAACGACTTGACTGTAGAATCGTTGCACAGTGCGTGTTGTTAATTATGCTCTTTATGCTGTTGACAGCAGCAAAGTTCATCTAGATTAAAGCTTTTTCTTTATGGTGGTCCTGTCGTTTATCGTACTGCAGTAACGTTAGTACGATTAATAAAAAATTAAGAAAAACAATAAAATTTAGGGTGAGACTATAGGCACCCCTTTCACCCCCGTTTGCTAAAGGCACCCCCTTTTGCACCCTGTTTTACTATAGGCACCCCTTTTTTGTTAGATAATTCTCACACCCCGTCTTTTTCCGCGGACTATAGGTACCCATTTTTATTTTTTTTACCAAAGCACTGACTAAGATTTTTTGAAAGTTTTTTGGTTGACATAGATTTTTTTGACGATTTGAAGGCATCACATAAAAAGGTGTACTAAAAACTCCATCCGACAATGGGCCGCTTTCAGATCGTCTGACTATGAATGTTTAGAAGCCTTGAAGGCAGATTCGAATGTGGAAAAAGCCGAATAACCGTCCTGAAAGTCGTTTTCTACTTTTCTTGGATAGCGGTTGGATAGACCAGGTCACTGTCAGATCGTGATTATCTTCGGATGGGCTACTTATTACAGACTGTCAGACATTATCACTACAGAGCAGTTTTTGCTGCTTTATTATTACAAATTTTGACAGAAATTGCACCGTTATTATTACAATGCAGTTCATATTACAAGAGAAAAAATTCTGGAGCCGGTAGTGCAACGACTTTCTGTATTCTAAGGTCAAGAAATTCGACCTTAAAAATAGCATTAACGGATAAAATAGGGGTGCCTATAGCTTTCGCACGCAACGGGGTGCAGAGATTGATTAAGATCGAAAAGGGGTGCCTATAGTCTGCGGGGGTGCGAAAGGGGGTGCCTATAGATAACGGGGGTGAAAGAGGGTGCCTATAGCCATTTCCTAAAATTTAACACCAGAACATCTGAACGTTGCAGGTAACACCAGAACATCTGAACGTCTTATGAAACATCCGTGTCCACTCACACCGGCTTCAACAACAATTTGTGGAAGAACAGTCCGAGTCACCCATGAATCGTACCTCAGCAGACTTGTGTCCGTTTGGAATGACCTCCCGCTACAACCTGTCGCATACGTCACGTTGAACACTTTTACCGATGCCCTGGATACCGTGAAACTGAACGATTTACCATCAGTGAAAATCCTGAAAGAATGTGTTTAGTGCAGCTACTTAATGTTTGTGTTTAATGTTCGTTCATTACCTGATGTTTAGTGTTGACGGCTTTTACTTTTTCTGCTCTTATCTCAACGGTTGCGACACAGTTAACAACGTAACTAACGGCGATTACGTGCGTAAGTGTCGGTGCTTTCCTTTTCCCCACGGTTTTTTATTTTTGAAAATTTTTGAAAACTAAATAACTACTTTATATAGTATGTGGGTTTTGGTTTTACGCATCGACCCCAGCGCGATCGTCTCCCTCCCATTTTCCACATAGGTAAATTCAACTTTTCGCAACCGTAACAAAAGCACTGATTTTCTTTCTGCCTGTTCATGTGATTATGACTAAAGATTGACCTCTGCGTATTTTTTTTTCCTGCTTGTTTTAGGTAATGTCAAACTGACCTTCATGTTTTATTGTTATTTTTTGATGTTCGTACTAAACTCTGTTTTCTTTCTACTGTCTGAAGCCTAGAGGGGGCAACCGCTCCGTTGCAAGGACAATAAACTTCACTTCACTTAACATGAAATGAAATATTGGAACACAAACAGCATAATAATCTGTTACTGGGCCGGCCCCCCATTCCGTTGTCAAAACGGAAGTGCTCATAGCAACAAAAGTTGTAGCGGTGTCGTGAGGTAACCGCCGTGGTAACGGCTTACGTGAGCATTTAGCTCTGTGTTCGTGCATGTACTTTCTGGAAAAGTTTCCAGGCCATCAAGCAGTAAACTAAACCCAATAACAAATTCCTGGCTTTCTTTATTTTATGACTGTTTATCGGTATCTTCGTAAATTTTTGTGCAAGCTTTCTCAAATCTTGGTCATTCTCATGACACTGTCAGATGCGGATTTGACGCAAGGCTCTGTGCCCGTGTGTTTTCACTGATCCAAAGGGTTCTTCGTGCTCCATCTCGCCTACGGTAAGCGGTATACCGTGGCCAACCAACTTTTCCTACAATCATCTTGAAGAATCATGGCCCGGAATCCGTCATCGTCCACTGCTCCCGCACAACCCGTGCCAGGACTGGTCGACAGCCTTAAAGAGTGGCTGGTCAGTGGAGAGTTGAGTGATGCGCAGTTTACAGTGGGTCGTCACTTCGGACCAGCCAAACTTTATCACGTTCATAAGTAGGTACTGCAAGTGATGCGTTCTGCTGCGTTCCCGCAAATACTTGCCTCCTTTCAAAACCGCAGCACCCTATGACGGTGTTATTTGTTGTGCAGGTTTGTTCTGTGTCTGCGTAGTCCCGTATTTCGTGCCATGTTCCATGGAAGTTTGCCCGAAAACACTGCAGCGGTTATTGACATTCCGGATGTTTCTCCCGTTGCGTTCGGCAATATGCTCAGGTTGGTCAGTTGACCTGGATTTGTACACGTATACAACCAACTATAAAGGCAACCAAAAAAACCAGTCGGAGACGTTTCTTTTTATCTACTCTACGGAAATGTCAAGAAAGTTTGTTAGCAAGAATTATTTCTTCCGCCATAATTACTCCTTACATATTCTGGCATCAGGATAATACAGTTATTATACCAGGATATACATTATTGGTACTACGGGGTAGTATAAATGCCTATATCCCTCAATAGTACCGAAATTGCATATCCTGATAGTTACGGCGAACGGCGTATGGTATTTTCACTCCAATTAATTGTCCCATTTTTCTGTACGTCCGTCTAGCTATACGAGCTTCGATGTCCATGAGACTGATGAGAGTACATGCCCGTAATTAAACCGGCACTGAATCCCGGTTTAAACCACTGAAAGGAGCAAAACGGCCTTCATTGCCTTCCTGTAGGCTGGGATACGCTCAGGATATCTCAGACAGGAGATAGTTTATAACTTTAACATTTAATAAAAAGCAGTGCTAGACCTAGACAAAAGGCAGTGCCAAAGCATTTTTCATACTGCATAGAAGATATCAACGCCGTTGATATCTTCCATGCAGTATGAAAAATCCATACGCCTGATTTACAAGTATTTGTTCTATGTGCATCCTTGATTGTAGTTTCATGTACACGGACATGGTGGAGTCTCTGCATGTGGACAACGTCTGCCAGACGTGGTCGTGCGCGGACAAGTACGATCTGCCGTTGCTGATGGAGAAATGCAGCTGTTTTGTTAGCACCCATTTGAAAGTGGACAACTGCTTAACCCTCTTGGAAAATGTTCGTCAAGTTTGCGATTTGAACGTGATGGTTAAATGTGCTGTGTTGAGCGGGATGAAATATTACAGGGAGTTCATAGCCATGCCGAGAAACTTGTGGAGCGTTGCCTCGAATTTGTGGATCAGTCCGCTGACGTCATCGTCCCATCGAAGGCCTTTGCGGCCATTGAACAGGGGACACTTATTCTGCTTCTGCAGCGTGACACGCTGTCTACGACCGAGCATGCGGTATATTTGGCTGTTGAGAGGTATAGTAATATTGGATTCATTTCGGCATTTTGTTACAAAAGGTGTTCGTTAATGATTTATGGGAATCGGTAGCTGGAAGTTTGTACAAGTTGATCATGGTAAAACAACGTATTGAGCACAATAAAGAAAAAAACAAGCGGCTGAATATTCTTTCTGCAGATGGGCGCGGAAGGCGTGCAATTCCCGCAACATGGATCCATCCGCCACCAATCGTCGTCAGATGCTGGGTGAAGCGTTATTTCTCGTGCGCTTTCCACAGCTGACGAACACACAGTTAGCTGATGGGCCCGTCAAGGTAGGCAACGGATTATAACCCGAATGCATAGTGGATTGATGGATTCTGTTAGTTGCGCAAAGCAGTGATGCCAGTCAGCGGTGTAGGCACTTGGGACGTTATTCCGTCGCACACCCAGACAAATAGACCAGCTGGGCTCAGTTTCGGTGGCAAATTTCAAGTTGCCACTCAAAAAAGTGGCCCTTACATTCATGGATACCGAATAGTGTGGTGTCGCGGAATAATGCCCTGCAATATAAAACACGGCGGAAACGGAACAAGGTCTTGCAACCGGCTCTCTGGCATTATTTCTACTACTGTAACACTTCGTCGGCCGTCACAAAATCGACCGTCAGGATTACGAAGACAAAAAAAAACTAGGAAAACTAAGAAAGAAGAAAACTCGAAGAACACTCGAAGAACAAAAACTATGATTGGCTAATAAAACTGTTCGACTTAGTGTGAGTTCCGTCGAAGAATTGGCGGGTCACCCTGGCAACACAGTTCTTTGTTTGCGCTGATGGTAGGCAACAGCCCGTTTTACTTAGTGACCTACGGTCGAAGCGCCACAAAGTCGACCCAGCGTCGACATTGTGACAGGCGCCTCAGTGGTAGTGTCCGAGCGGCATCCGCTCTCTATAGGATCGTTCGATAGAATATTTCATTAGATTTGTATGCTTTGCCGATAGCCTAGTGGTGCCTCTCTCGGCCTTAGAGTATGGAGGTTGTGGGTTCGATTCCCTCAATCGGCAGATTTTTTGCGAGTGTCTGTGCGAGCCTAGCCCAGCCCTTTCAGTAGTGAGCTTTGCAACTTTCTTGCATCTTTTAACTGGTTGCAGAGCGGCTTACTGCTCCACTCGGAGTTACACGACCTTTACCAGTATAAATTCGCCACGGGCAAACCAGCGCTGCCCTTCTCCACGAAACCTCGCCGCATCTATTGTCATCGTGTCGGAGACGTGACATTCCGGCATAAGGAGCCAGTGTTTGTCGGTGAGGCGGATCGGGTTCACTGGGTCCCAGCGGAAATCATCGGCGTTCGTCAGAATGAGTTTCTCTACATGAGCCGCAGTTGTGTTCATTCTGCTGATGGAGAGACGGCAGTCAGCTGGAATATCGTGCGAGCTGCCGATATTCTCCACCCAGGCCAAGATGTGGTGGCCAAACTGTTCGAGGACGGATTGTGTAAGGTGAAGTACGATCGAGCGCACGAACATATCCGGCACATTGTTAATTACCGTGGTCGACAGTATGCTGTTGCCTTCCACCGTTTGCTGTTTACAAATCGTCAAATCACGGAATTCATGGCCAACACAGAGATATGAGGCTGGAATGTACTGGGATGTTGTTGCGCATGAGGGTTCTTGTATGTAACGGTTTAATAACGGATTGCACTGGGATTCTAACGATTTAGTTATGAATTCACTGTTCATGAAACTGTGTTGTTCGTTTGGTTTTATTAACCAAGCGAAATTTTCTGTACGAGTGCATAATTTTTACTGCATTTACAGTTAACAGGATGTACATGTAGCCTGTACCGTTCTAAATGTACCGTTATACAGTAGGATGTACCGTTATACATGTATTCTGTCAAAATTATTGTTACTTTGAATTCGTTGTGTACTTCTTTTTGTCCGTTTTCAGATGGCATTCATTAAAATCCAGCGCTTTTTTCAGATAATCCTGAAACTATAATTCTTTCTAAACGCACAAATGCGATCGGTTTGTTTGTGCGCAAATTCGCCCGGCTATACGTTCTCGATCGGGGCGCAAATAATCTCTTTGTGGATGTAACGGATGCCGAATGGCGGGCTGGTCTGCATACTGTCAGTCTGATTGATTAAGAAAGCACTTCTTGGATCTGTTCATTTCCGACAAGAAGGTGCTAATCGGAAGGCGTTCAATTTTATTAAGGAAAGCCCAGTACTAAATTCCGATCTATTGCCAGATATACCCTAACCACTTATCTGTTCGTTTTTGCGCACTTACAGTAACTTACAGATACTGTACCTGCTGTGTTACTGTAGTACCGTAACTGCCTTTAAATTTCACTCAAATCTGGATCTGTCTTAAGGGAGGTGGCCCGGTACATGGTACCAAATTCGTGTACATGCACCAAAACTTTTACTTTCGCGCACTCCCAAACACATTTTGTTTCGGTTTATGACATTCTGTAGCCAGAAGATTTGTATACACTGGTGTGAAAACCGTTTGTGCGCGCAACATCCGGTTCGGGAGTTATGGCTGCTAGAAATTCCAGAAAGTTCAAATGCGTTCATGTGTATCAAAAGTCTCATTACAAACCGATCTTCCTCGAATTTCGCACGTAAATGCACATGGCCATGAAGATTGTTTTCACACCGATCCAGACTTCGATCCATGATGTTTTTCAGATTTTAAAATGAATTCCGAATGTTTTGAAATTCATTTTAAAATTTGAAAAACATGCTAGTACAGTGAATCCATAAGTACCGCATCCTTTACAGTCTATAATGTGACTTTTTGTACACCTGAATGCATTTAAACTTTTTTGGAATTATCTTACAGCCATAACACCCGAACCGGATGTTGCGCGCACAAACGGTTTTCACGCCCGTGTATAAAAGTATTCTATTCTGGCTACAGAATGTCATAAACCGAAACAAAATTGTGTTTGGGAGTGCGCTAAAGTGACAGTTTTCGTGCATCTACACGAATTTGGTACCATGTACCGGGCCATGCACTTCCCTTAATTGCTTACGTCGTTTTTTGTTTGATCAGGCTTGAAGTCTCTTTGGGGCTTGTGCCGTAATAATAATAGTGACCACTTACTGGGTTTCGACTGCAGTAGCTGCTGCAGGGCGTGCATATTTGCGTAACAATCTGGCATTAACTGCGCATCTTCATCCGCTTTTCGGATCTCAAGTAACTGTCGCCATAGCGACCTCTCAGTCAGCTGTTAAAACGGAAATGCTGACAGCAACAAAAGAGTGAATGCCATGGCGCAGGGTAATCGTCGGGGTAACAGCGTCTCGTGAACAGTACCACTGCACTGCAGAATTTCATTTCAAAGGTTTTCTGGATGGCAAACTTATTATCTGCCTGATTTTTCATTTTGAGATCAGCTTTCGGCATTCTGTCATTTATGATTTATAGTCAAATTTGTCAGTAACGTAACGTTAAAAATTTGCAAAGGGCGGATGCCAGAATTTCAGCTGCTCTGCCTTAACATAAATGCGGCCCGACTGGTAACTGCGGGCGGTCGGTACGCGCTCGGTGTTTTATGATGCCGGTGGGAAGTCGGCGAAGAAATGGTGTAAATAGGTATAAAGTATCGTCCACACTGTGATTATTTTCAAAAACACGTTCTTATAGTCTTAAACATTTTTTAATATTTCGTAATTCGAAAAATGAAAGTTTGGCCGCAATCTAACTTGCAACTACTGAAGGTGTGCATGTTAATTTTATTCGACGCCAGTCAGCTCACAGATCGGATGGGCTAGCACAGGTTTACACTACTTAAAATGATCAAAATTTAAACATTGAAAAACATCCAAAATCGTTAGTCCCATTAGTGATCTTGGGTCGTGCAGTCAGTGTGCAGTGTTTGATCTTTACTTCAAATAATTCAATACAATCCCTGCGCCTTTTCCTTTTGGCAGAACTTGAAAGATCCATAACCAGTCACCAGCCGGTGAAACGCTCGGGTCGGCTGTTTGCAGTGTAGGTACCGGGTATATTATTGCCGTATCGGCAGTAAAAAAGATGTACAAGTACAACCAAGAGGTAAGAACATACTTGTATGTTTTCCCGTTAGCGACATATTTTGATCAGACAATTCTTGCGAAGACGCACGCGTCCGTGATTTGGTTGCAGATTTTGACTGATAGTTTTTCACAGTAAAACCTTCAAACTTCTTGTTTGAGAATTGGGTTCTGCCACAGATTATGTATGATTCTCAGCAGTTATGGAGCTGAAGAGAAAGCACGGTGCCGTCGATTATGATTCCGGAATACTCAGTGCACGCTGTAAAGTGTGTGGTGGCCGATCCACTGGCGTTCACTACGGCGTGATCAGCTGTGAAGGATGCAAGGTAAAAAATTTATGTGGAATGTAATACCACAGTTTACAACTGTAGTCCGTATATGAAAGCTATAATATATGCAATTACACTATGGTAATACCAACTTCCCCATGTTTTGAACATGCATATTCACTGCACGTCGTTTTTCGGTTGTTTTTAATTGTGGAATGGGGGCCGGGGGGGATTTTCGGGGATTTTTATCCGGAATTATATGCAGATCCATTATAATTATGCAGAATCGTCTCTGAGATATGTTCGGTTCTATAGGGTTAATCACAGATGCAGTTAATGAGTAACGTAAAAACTACGAGCTTGGCTTTATATCTGTGTGTCAGTCTGGTGTTGAATCGTATCATAATTTTGCATCGACACAGTGTCCTCTCAGGTTTTCTCAAAATTCTGGATTGTTTTTGGGACGTGAGTACCTTGGAGGTCGAGAAACAGTGCACATCAGTTACCTGTAGTCTGTACAGTTTTTGGTGCATCGATATAATTTCTGCTTCGTGCCAGATACCATAATGGCATAGTGGCTCATATATCATAGCCTGTGGCTGTGAGCCTGTGGGGGTACTTGAGCAGCAACGACAAGGAATTTCCACAGATCTCGAGAATATGTTACGAGTACATGTCAGAAACCTGACATGAGAGAGCTGTAAACAGGTACACATTCTTTTCTATCAGTCTCAGTGCGTCTTCAGCTGTTTCTTAAAAGAAGTGCTTGTATTCTGTAGGCCACAAATCCGGGTGCACCGAAACTCATCTGCAGCGCAACGAATTTGTGTTTCTGTTTTTAATGTTATTTATCAAACTGGAATTTTAGTACAATTAGCGCACTATTTTATGGAAAGTAAAAAAGTACGAAGACTGAGCCTCACCAACATAAATAAATTTTGCCGATTTTGAAGAGATTGTCATTTGGCAAGAACGTTTTCTAAAAAATATAAAGACCCCAGCTTGGAATGCTGATATCGGTATAACAACAATATAATTATTGATTTAACGATAATATGTATTATTAATATTTAGTGTACATATATTTAGTGTGTTATATATATTGTACATAAATGTATTGGTGCAGGCATATAGGTATATGTTAGTGTATCGGTTTTTGCTGGATAAACAGAAGTTTGTTATTGACATGCTTGGTCGATAATTAATGTTGTCGGTGCGCAAGACCGCCGATGCATGCATGCCTTGCAGTGCCGGAAGTGAGTATGCATTTTTATTGGGGAAATTTCATTGAAATAAGTGACCTGAAATCGTGTACTTTGTAGCAGCCTTTGTTGTACAGACAAACTATAGCACAATATATATTGTACATGTGTAGTCCGTAGACACAACGCACATGTACACGTACAAATATCAAGCATGGATGAACGGAAATATGGCTCTAAAGAAGTATAGATATTTTACAGTATCTTCGGTGTATAGAGGTACACGGTGTAGTGTGTAATTACTTGTACGTTGCGTAAGAAATTTGACAATTTAGATTGTTTGTGTTGTATGAACTTTGTATCGTTCATGCGGTACAAGTAGCACATGTAATTAATACTACCGTAAGTATGGAAACTTCTTAGGCTGTAATACATGAAATTTCAGGCTTCTGTAATGGCTGCAAAAATGATTGTTGTAGGCATTCTACAAAAGAGGGGTAATAAATGGAATAAAGTACAAATGCTACTTTGGATCAGCATGTCCCATCACTGCCGGAACACGAGGCCGCAGGTGCGTACTCAAGGAGATACTGCACCATTCTCCTTAATTTCTTTATGAATATTTGTATGTACTGTTATTCAAAGTACTATTTGTTAGTTACTCCATCTTCCTGGTTTTCCGACGTTGTTAAAATACTTTCGAATTTTACTCTTTGTGCATTTATATGGTGCATATCTGTATTATATTATATTCTCCATTGCATATCTGTATTATGTAGTTTCGTTATTTGCACTATTTGGTCTCTACATAATTCGCTGTATATTTTTAGATGCAAAGCATGCCGTTTCCGGCGCTGCCAGGAAGAGGGAATGGATGTCCGAGGTATTAATCTTCAGATTGAAAAATGCATTGATCGGCGTTACTCTGTGCTTTCGCGAGAAAATTCTAGAGGAAGTTTCGCCGAATATTTCCAGAATATTGTTTATCATTAAATGTATTGTGCTTTAAGCGTCATAATTATGTTAAATAACTTACACAAATAAAATAGCGTCATATGAAAAATAACTTTATAAGCTAAGCTGTTAGTTGCCCCGGCCTCAAATCAGTTACACGATTTATCAAAAACAAATTTACTGTAGGTGATCGGTACATAACAATAAAAACCTTATGTTTCATGATTTAACAGCGATGAAAGGCAGCCGATCATGGCGAGCCCAAGACGAAAAATTCGAGATGTCGCCCACTATGGTAGACAACCATAATCCTCAACGTGATTACGTTCCGGATCAAGAAGATGCAATATTGGGGAGTCCTGGTAAAGTGTTTGTACTTAGACGTTTTGCCCAAATTTAATAATTCAGTCATTCCGTTTTAAGCGAGGTTTCCGTGAAATTCAGGTACACCTTATTTGTAAACAACTTGGCCGGGTTAAGTAGCTCTCTTGCATATGTACGCATTGCCGTGGTTTCTTATAAATATTTGCAAAATAATTGCATACTCGGGAAGGGATGAACGCAGAACCTCCGATATTTACGCTAAAGTGGGCGTATGTCCGTCGAAATTGACGCTCAGGCGGCGGAAGGGTGAAGCCGGGCGCGCAGCTCTCGTGCCGATAATGAGGGTTGTTTGACGTCAGGGGTCTATGATTTGGCACAATTCTGAGAAATGTATCGAATGCCGGTGTCTTTAATGGTTGTTTTGCAGACTCGGAGACGTACGCCAGGGGCAATCATACCTCGGTGTTCCGATTAGGAAGTTTCTCCGGAAGTTGTGTTATGCCCATATCACGGCCGAAACCGGAATCTCACGATTATACCGGCGTCGTAGCGGTCCGTCATCAGGCAGAAAATTATCCCCGCGTTAAAGGTAATAAATGCTAATAGAAAAGGATTGTACAGTATAATTATCGAGCATGAATGTTGATAAAAAAAAGCTGATGTTTTTCGCCACTTCCGCTCCGCTAAATTAAAGTTTCAGTCCAGCAAATAGCAACAGATCGAGGGAATATATAAATATAAATGTAGGTCCTCGAATATATAAAAATGGTTTTTAAAGTAAATTAAGGTAAGGTAAGGTAAAGTAAAGTAAAGTAAAGAGTAAAGTAAAGCAAAAATAATTACATCAACACTTGATAACGTGGTACGGAATTTGGTACTTGATAATGTGGTATATTACAGGCTAGCAACTCAGTAGCGGAGACTTGGCAGTTATTCGTATGTAAAATGTAGGATGATAAAAAGTATGTAGATTGTAGATGGATCGCTTTACCACATATTTGCATAAATAATTGCTTTACCCGCTAATATACTTTACCGGTGCTCACAGTACGTAACTCCGCACGGATGATGTTCGGGTTCGACGCCGTTTCTTAGTTTAATCTTAAAAGTCTTGAATCATGTGCCGGCTGGCCGAAATTCCCCTGTTCAGTTCAAAATTTTCCTGAATATGTACAAGTATGTTTCAACTTCTGTGCGTGTTTCCCGTAGTCAGCACGGCGCCTCTAACGGAACATTCAAAGCCGGACGCAACAGCCTATTCCGCTCGGCATTCCAGTAATTCGCCAGACCGCGGATTATCCACGGACACGGGCTATGCTAACAGCGTAAGCGCGCTCGTTCCCGTTAACCGACCAGCATCCTTCGGCTTACCGGACGCTAAAGAGGACGACCGTCCAGGAACTACCGGCAACGTATTTTCCAGCTGGATGTTATCCGGCGTATTCCCCGGGGTATCGTCCGACTTTCTCGAAACTTCCGACCGTACCACGATACCGAAATTCCTGGGGAATTACGTCCGCGCCATGCTCAACCGCAGCTACTTTCTGGCGGACACCATCAACCAGATGCAACACGCCATCGAAAACGTTATCGGAAAGTTAGCGAATAGGTTTGAAAGTTTTCAGAGCCATCCAGCATTCCTACAAAACAATGCGGTGAGCTATCACTAGCTTTTGATTAGGACGTTTTTTTAATTTGTCGGACCATCAGCTGACCGAAATTTTAATACTAGGGTAGATATAATACTACAGCAGTAATAGTACTGACGTAATGTCTGTCTGCATGATAATCCAGGCTGTTTAATCGGTGCTCACTCACTCGCTTCTTAAAATATTTTTTCTCCATCATGTGTAGCTCCGATTCTCAGCGGTTTCTGGCACGTGTTTCACATTTCAAAACGAATTTCAAAAATCATTCCAGAATTCAGAACTCAGAAAAAAGTCAAAATTCTGTGCCGGGTCAAAACGATTTTGAAAAATATTTTGACAGAGTTTCTTAGCATGCGCAGAATTCTATCGGTGCTTAACGACATTTTTTTGTCAACAAGTTTAACTTGTTGGAATCTTTTGGAACTGACTGTTGCACGCACAAACGGCTTTCGCGCCAATGCGCACAAATTATTTAGCTTACAATTAGCGATGCCATGAAGTTTTGAATGAAAATGTTGGAAAGTGCGTTAATGCGAAATTTCCCGTGTACATTGTATATCCACGAATCTGGATTCTGGACCATGTATCAAGTACTTAGTACCGGGCCATTTGCCTTAACCACTACTGTGTGGTTGAAGGACAATATTCAAGATCTAAAGTTCTTGCGGAAATCTTTTTCTTTATACATAATTGGTTGTTGATCTTCTGTCTTTTTCCAGTCACCTGAGACCGAAAGACGTGTACTGCGAGCGTTGCAGCATGATGTGGGAAACAATTCGCAGTATTTCAAGCTTTTCCTGCAATCCCTTCCGGGGTTCGCTGAGATGGATCCGCATTTACTGCAGAAACTAATTCCACGGCGGTATTTTCATTTCTGGGTTGTAAGTACGAACAACTTTCGGTACTGAGTAGATTGACATGCACCGCGGTTACGTACGTGACATTGACTACCTAGCATCACATGTAGTCATGTATGTACTTATTTTTGTTGCAGTTTTTCCATTCCTCATTTTATTACGATAATGCCGACCGTGAAGTGTACTTCCTGGCGGATATCAACCTGGATCAGCGAGCGTATCATGTGGACAAAGTCTGTGAGAAGCAATATGCGGATTATTTATACCAGTGTGTACTGGACATTCGGCGGTTACAACTGGATGACGTGATGCGATATCTGCTGCTGGTCGTATCCGTTCTCCATCCAGGTGCGTAAGCTTAAATTCCGTATGTGGCATTTCCTTCCTTTTCGCGAATGTACTGCCAGCCTGCAGCGTTGCACCGGGTATTGATAAATTAAAATAACACTTCTCCTACATTTATACACGACGGAAAACAATCTCCCGGCTGCACAGCGCATGGGTTCGATTTGCGGCGTTGAAGTACAGGCGCTTTCGTCATTAGCTTCAGACAATTATTGCAGAGATGACCACCCTTTCGTTAGAGAGTTCACAACGCGGCAGGATTATGGGAAGTGGCCCATTCGTGTACATGCACGAAAACTTTCGCTTTCGCGCACTCCTGATGACTGTCTGCATATTGCTTTATGGCATTGTGTAGCCAAATGATTTGTACACATTGGCTTGAAAACCGAATGTGCGCGCAACATTCGGTTGGGAAATTATTCATGGATGTAAGGGAATTCCATTCGAGAAATCACACATTTTCATGCATATACAGTAACACAAATTGGTGACCACTCCGTAGTCCATACACACCCTTTCACACCCTTTCACTCCGTAAACAACCTTTTGCACTCCCTTTCATTCCGTGCACAACCTTTTTGCGCTACCTTTCATTCCGTACACAACCTTTTAATTTTTTCACAGCAAGAGTTATTTCTGGAAAAAATAAAAACGCGCAATCTCGACCGCTTTTTTTATTTTGATCAGCAACGTTTTTCACTCTAATCTCCGCAAGATCTGCTCCGTAACACTTGTACTGTATATTAAATCTACGCTTGCCACGTGAGTTATTTGCTGACGCTGTCATACACCAGGACGTCTTCGTCGGAACGGTCCCATGATGTTGCAAGAAAGTAGTAATATTTTTTTTGTAATTTTGCTTTTCTGTAGTAATATAGATTACAGATATTTAAGTATAATATATATAAGTATATATAAAAGTTTGGTAGTGCACCGAGTGAATGGTAGTGCGCAAAAAGGTTGTGCACGGAATGAAAGGGAGTGCAAAAGGTTGTGTACGGAGTGAAAGGGTGTGAAAGGGTGTGTACGGAGTGGTCACCACACAAATTTGGTACCATATACCAGGTCATTCCAGATGACTAAGCATCACTTTAATACTACTGTTGCCGTTCGTTACGAAAAGATACGAATATCTTTTCGTATACCACTTCATTGACGTCTTCGTTATCGTAAATTCCATAACGAAAAACCGAACTCCGCGACTTTTTGTGCACATTGCGAAAACGAAAAGTGTCTTACAATAACACCGAAAGTGCACCTGTCTGTTTGCTTTTAGGTAATACTCGATTTCCGGCGGACGATAAAGCCGTTCTGCAGCCCCTCCACGCTCATTACCTCGAGGCACTCATGCACTATGTTTCGGGCCTTACGCACGGAAAACAACTGGTGACGGCGCTGCAGCAGTTTTTTCTCACTATCCCCACGATGAATGACGTATCGGAGCGGTATGTAACGCAGCTGGATTTCGGTTCGTTGCCGTTGCGCACGGCCGGTGGACAGACGTTCCGGGAACTCTTTCACAGCATCCTGTGGAAAAAGGATCACAACGGGGTGGTTAATCGGTTTCATTCCGAAGGACGGATACATTAGATTGCGATTTTCGACAGTATTTTTCACCATTTTTGCGGCGGCCATCTATGTACTGTTATATTTGGAGTTCTGTGCTATATTTTTGAGGAGACTTTATATTTTGCAACAGATTTTTATAAAATGGTTGTGGGAGAGATTTGGTCTGGGTTCTGGTAAAAGAACGCTGTAGGTATAATTCCGATACAGAAAGGTCTGAAATATTATAATAATTTACAAATGTTCATGTGATCGAAACTTGAGAAAAGCATATATTTATGAATAAAACAGAGCGCTGGAACATCCCGTACATTTCCTGGCCGGGGACGTATGTCGTAAATCACTAAATTGTATTAACTAAAGTTGAATCGGCAGATTTTACACATTGAGTGGTTTGAATTATTATTGAAGAAAAAGACAGGCAAGTACAGCCACTTATTGATGTAAATGGAGAATGAGGAACATGTTTTTACTTTTTTTTACCACGCTACCCAAGATAAGTATTACATATTATACGATATTTTTTTATTATTTATCCGACAGTTATTTACCCGGCGTTCAAACAAGATATTGTGAGCCGACAAATAGATTCAAAATAACTCGGCCAGTAACCAGATGCTTGCGCTCCGTTGGAATCTACCGAATAAATTATTGTCAACAAGACACACCCACTCAGTAATCTTTAGATTATCGATTGTCGGCGGATCGTTAACGAGTATCGAGACGTGGACAATAAAAAACCCCATGTACTCGTGCAGATTTACTACATATGTTGTCGTACCGGTAAGGACGGTGCTGAAACTACATGTTAAACGCCACAACATTAGAACTTCTGGAAACGCTCGTTAAGTGAGAACGGTCTTCGTTGCTACTATAAATTTATGAAAATGCTCAATAACCCCAGACACTACAGACTGTATATACAGTATGAGTAAGTATATAAGTAATCAGTTGTAAAGCAAACCATCAATTGCTCAATAGAGATCACAGCTTTGCAGAATTTTTAACAAGAAACCTACGAGAAACCCAAGAACATTTTCGGTTGACCAGTGGAACAAGCTTCTCGTTTAGTTTACAACAGTTAATTTAGTTAGGCTGGCTCAGCCCTCACTGTACGGTGTGTCCATGTCATCGTCTTCATGATGGGCAGCATCCGACGCCATTATATGTCCCACCAAGGGAGCGCCCTGTACCGATGCCGACTGCGACGTTTCCAGTCGAATATAAGGCTGTTGCGGCGACATTTCTTGCGACCGGGCTTGTTCACCATTATGCTGTTCCGGCTGGTTATCATATGGCTTCTCTGCGTAGCTCTGGGCGTGATGGTCATACAGGTCGTCCTCGTCGACGTTGGTTCCCAGGTATCTTCCTTGGCGTTCCGGCTCCGGCTGCCGGTCGGAGCCGACATATCCGCGCGGGATACCAGAAGCACCCAGATTGCGGCCTTGGTACTGCGCGGCATAGGCGCCGCTGGGTTTACCGGGATAGTCGTTGTTGGCGTAGTAGTCGTACGTGTAGGTGTGCTTCTGTGGTCGGAAACTAGGCACTGGTCCGTATCCAAGCTGAAATAATTAGTATATTAACCAGACGATGCTAACGAAAAAATATGCAGTGTATGAATACACGGCATTCGCGCTCGGCACTTAGGTACTGCATGGTATTGGTTCTATTTTGGTTTTATTTTCTCCGTGGTTACAGGCAGTCTGAAGTACTGGGCTTTATTCCAGTAATCTACGTATAATGCCTATGCTTAAGACTCGATGAAATTATTTTGCGACCAGAGATCACTAAAAAAACTATAAAATCTATTGGCACACCTATGAAAAATATGGAATTTTTTAGGACCAAACTGGACTTAAACTGACCACGCGTTCACGAGTCCATGAAAACGGTGCATAAATACGCTTTGGTCGGTGAGCTTGTATGAATATAAAGATACTGCATGTACTAGGAAAACATGGAACATGTGAAAAATTGGCACCAGATTTAAAAAAAAACAGTACTTTCACTATTTAAAAGAAATTTATTTAAAAAAATTTACATGAACATTATGCTATTATCTTAAAAAATTAAGATGAAATATGAAATAATGTACAGCGTCTGAAAAATAAAATAAAAAATACGATTATTTTACCTAAACCAGATAAACCAAAAAACTGAAAAAAGGTATGGTACTCAAATAGTATTTTACAGTATCAATTACCCGACAGCACTGGATGAAGGCGATATGCATGCCGTTGTTGGGAATCGGGCCGTCGTTCCACTTGTCGCGCTTCTTCCCGATGCCGGTCATGACGTAGCCGGTGGCGCAGGTGACCATGATCTGGTTGACGTTGTCGTAGTACTCGCCGTAGATGTCGTGCGTGGGGAAGTAATAGCACAGGGAATAGTCGATATAATATCCCGCCGGTGTCTTGCAGCACTTGTATGGCTGCAGATAGTCCACCACGTCTCGGAACGTCCACCACTGGAAGTCGTTATCCCAGAATCCTGTTAAAAATCATTATGTATTTGTGTATAAGTACAGATACATATACAAAACTCCCCCTAAAACAGCGGTGGAGCGTCGTTTTGCGGTTAATTATACCAAAATTAATACAGCATTTGTTCATTCAGTATAATTACCGGTAACGAAGGTGTGTACCGTGGCATCGTGGAATTTGGGATTATAGCAGTGGTATTGGTATGTGAAGTTCTGCACGTAACAGCTGCAATACAGAGTGCTTTGTAAGCTATGTCTCACTGCAATACGTAGTTTTACATTAAGGAACGACCGTCCACGGAAAATGGAATTCCACGGATAGAATCCAATTTCCAAATCCGCGCCCCATGCGAGTGGCTCGGATTTGGAAAATGGAAAAGAGGAAATCCGTGGAATTCCAATTTTTGCTTGGAATTCCAGATTCCCTGTATTTGGAATTCCAAACGCACAGAAATGTCGAATAAAAAATTACAAACTGAACATTTTTCAACGAGTAGCTACAAATTTATTATTTAAAAAATGGCCGTCTCTATTCTGACACTGCCCGGTAAAGAAAAAACGCGCCGGAGTTATCAGATAACGTCAGACTGCAACATGAGTACGCATGCATGACTCGTACAGTATCAAAGACAAGTTACCGGTGTCAGTTTAACCGCACTACATCAATGATGTAAGAGTACTAGTATTGGTAGATGGTAGTATAGTATTGTTTTGCTGTTTTAAAACTAAGGAGAAAACAGACATGCATATCGAAATTTATTAACTTCAGGCGTGGTTTTAGCGTAGCAGCCGAAACTACCCTTTTCATTTATTTTTTTTTGTGAAATAAGTTCAGTTTCTATGTTCAGTAGCTAACTATCTGCAGTTTCCGAATCTGCACTATAAGGTATCTCTAATATACTGTAGACCGGCGGCATCTGTACTAGCTATCAGACCTGGGCAGTTATAGAAATTTGACCCAAAGTTAGAGTTAGGAGTTACAGGAACGTGCGAGTTACGTTAAGAGTTAAGTTATTTATGCAGGAAAACCGAGTTTCGAGTTAAACCGCGAGTTACGGTACCATAGACAATACATAGTATTTGTATGAGAGTTAAGTTAAAGTTAAGTTTTCTTCTGAGCAAGTTACGCTAAAGAGTTAAGTTATAACTCAATAACTCGAAAATAACTCGCGTTAAGTTAAATAGTTAAAATTAACTGCCCAGGTCTGCTAGCTATGCTCTAATAACATAGTACCACTGCCTCTGTTTATGAAAAGCAGATAGTTCTGTCACTTCTGTGTACCTTTACTTTGTTTAGAGCTTTGAATGCATTTACAAGCGATGAATGCGCGGTAATTAATCAGCGGGCGATATCTGAAATGGTGTTTTGTTAAAACTTATGTAAATTGATGGCTAATTAATGGTATTCCAACGAAAAAAACGAAATCCTTGGATTTACGGAAATCCATTTGGATTTCCGTAAATCCACGGATTCCATGGAATTCCATGGCAATTTCCTTTCCAAAATCCTTTCCACGGGCTCGCGCCCGTGGATTTGTCCTCCTTATTTTACATCTAGTACTTAATTAAAGAAAATCGGGTGATATAGTACAAGACTTTCGGTACACCGCCCTGCGTCTAGACTTTTAGATTACTTTATATTTCTCCCATAACTCCCCAACCGGATATTGCATGCATAAACGGTTTTCACGTCAATGATTACAAATTATTTGGCTACAGAATACGTTCTTTTCAATCTACGACTGAATGTGGACCGATCACATCCTACACATAGAAGTATACGTACTTGGGATAAAAGGGATATAAGCCGTTTGTGGGCGGTTTATGAGGGAACATGAATTTGCACCAGATGTACACGAATTTCTGCCAAAGAAACATTAATCATCACGTTGTCGTGTTAGGGTACATATTGTACTTGTACATGAGATTCTGATTGACTGCGTACGAACCACTGAAACCGGTACTTGTGCACTGTAAATGCGTAAATGCAAAGGCATGCTGCTTACCTACCTGAAAGTCATCGTTGATGTCTCTGTAAAATAAAGTATACTTCCTCATTCAACGTAATAAAATATTTTTCATAAAATACGGTAAAAAAATTAAGACAGTATTACATTATGTTAACTACGTAACAATGAATAATAACAGACACGATAACAACATACTACTGCAGAAATAAAAAGCTTCGTACCCAATTCCCACGACTGCTTCCCCGTCCATGCACTCAATATGCCACTTCCGGTGCGGGTGATTGGGGCCGCCGTGCGCATGGAAGGTGGTCATAATCGTATCACCCTGTATAAAGTATAGCAGAGCTGGTTTTATGCAGGGCATAATAATATAACAATAATTTATATACAACATATACTTCTGTATATAATAATGACAATGTAATAATAACATATTTATTTTCACAATAATGTAAATTAATAATTATTATTTATTAATAATTAGTAGTACAACTCACCGATCCATAGACTGTATAGGTACCGTAGTACCGGTTAACAGCCACAACAACACTGATTCCCCATAACGCAACAATAACAATAATAACCGGCGTCCTCCGCCACCAACCGCAGCACACCGGACCCATGCTGAATTCCAGACCGGATATTGACGGGATTAAAATATGAATAATTATATTATTATTTTACATTATTAGATTATGCGTGCAATAATTAACAACAATTAGAGTGAATAATTTGCATGAGGATGATATAATAAAAAATATATTGTTATGAAGGTATTAATGATGACCGTATACGAATAATAACGAGCACAATCTGTGATATGTAACGTGTATTATTCTGCGGCCATAATTGTTGCATGCGCCGCGTCATGCACACATGTTGGCCAATTGCAATTACTGCATAAACCGCCGCGTCGAGTGACCCTTTTCCGCAAGCTGTATGGTAACCTTGTGTGCCGATGCCGGCGCGCTTGTTCAACAGACATCAATAAAACAACACTACAATGTCGTTCTCGTTGGCAGCATCATTTCGGTTCTTGGTTAATTAAGGATGCGCCGAAAGGCGCAGTAGAAACGACATTGTACCGTGCCGGAGATTCTGAGCGATGCATGCATAGTTTCGATAGACCTACTTTTTTAAGCAGTAATATTTCTGACATGCTGCCACACCCTTCATTATCATTGCCTAATCCTCCTATATGTGTTTTTAGAAATAATAATATGTCGGATTGTCCAGTTTTAAATAGATGATTTCATGCACTGATTTGAACCGCAACTAGAACAAATTATCAATAACTGCTTGATTTAAATTAAATGTAATTACTGTTTATTATATACTTAATTGATATAAGCTACATTTCCTCAAGAAAATATTTCGATTTTCTTTTCATACGATGCGTTACATATTAGTGTAGTGAGTGTATCAGGAATTATCTGGATTAATGTACGCGCTGTTTTATAAACGTTTTTCTAATTTATTTTCAAAACTCGCCGATTGGTATGCTCGTCGCTTATACTATTTAACAAGCAAAAATACATATATGGCGCTTATAATATGGCGCTTATTATAACAAACCATTATTTTTTTATGTCGGTGAATATGTATTTATTTATTTTTATTTATAACATGTTGTTTTATGTTGGTATTATTTATTATTTTATCGAGTTACCATCTTAGTTAAATTTGCAATACCCTTGTCAAGCGCCACTGGAATGTCAGTGCGTATACGAAAACATCACAGACCGTACATTTTATATATATTATCGTTTCTGCATAATGCCACCAACAATTATTAACGAGTCATTTCCACAACGAGAGAAAAACAACGTGAAAGCCTTATTGAAAAACAACATAACCAGTATTCGGCGAAAGGTCACCGCATAGCTTCCTGATCGTAATTCACCAGCGGTTGCGCCGGGTCCTGCGCGGCACTTCCGGCCGTTACCGAGTCCTCCGTCGGACCGAAAAACGCCTTTAATTGACTGAGATACGCACTATCCGGCACCGGCCGTTGACTGGTGTTCCCATACGGGACGTCCAGCTCTCCCGGCACCTCCCCTTCCGGTTCCCCATTAGACCAAGGATAGAGGTTGGTCCCCATCAGCTGCGGGTTCATGGCCAGCTCCCGGTCCAGTGCCCGCCCCCCGAGGAGGCTGTCGGGATCGACGGGAAAGCGGGAATGCGCCATGGGACCGCCGCGTTGCCGTGGGGGGTAGGCGTAGGCACGGGGGGCCTGGGAGTAGGTGGGCGGGGCGTAGGTGGTGGTGTTGTCGCTGCGGGGCGGCGGCTGGATGGGTTTGATGCCGAAGCCGACGCGGCAGCACTGGATCCAGTCGATGTGGGAGTCGGGGTTGGTGTAGGGGTTCAGTTTGCGAGGGAGGCCGGTCATCACGTAGCCGGTGGCGCAGAAGGTGAGAAAGTAGGAGGGCGTGTCGTAGTATTCCTGTACAGCGTGTTTTTTTAATCATTGCTTGACAGGTGGCAATTATTGATAAATAAATGGAAAATGTATTAGGAAAATACTTACATTATTCCTTGTTTGTGGAAACAGCGCATTCGTAATATTAGCATTATTTAAAAAAATTGGGCAGAAATTACATCAAGGTCTCATTTACAATACTACATTCAAGTTTAATAAACGCAATTTACAATTAAATTTGCCTAATTTGGGAGAATATGAGGAGATCGAACATTTCTGTGGGCAGAAATGAAAAATGCAATTAAAACTATGTACATAATACTATGTAAATTGCAATAAATGCATAAAAGAGAAGAGAAATATGAATAAACGTAAATAAATAAAATATATTATTAAATATATATTGTATATGGCAAATGAAGATATTAAGAGCGAAGTGTTTGTTATTCGTGAGGAGGAAGTACCCAGTACTGGTCGTGCGTTGGCTGGTAATAGCATGCCGTATAGTCGATATAATATCCCGGCGGAGTCTTGCAGCATTTGTAAGGATTTAATAAATCACCGGGCGGTGGCGGCGGTGCACGGCTCATGATAAAATTCCACTGTTTCCCGTAAAATCCTAGTCACAAACACACCGTACATGATATTAAATCATGATACAAATCAATCAATGCTGTAGATTGTCGTCATTATATACGTAGAGTGCATTAATGTACCTGTTATGAAGGTGTTGACGGTCTTCTCGTGCTGCAGCGCCGTATAACAGAAGAACTGTATGGTGAAGTTGCGCACATGGCAGCTGCAGAGCAAATTAACAATTATTATTATTATTAAATAAATTTGACCAAATTAATAAAAAATAACTTATAAATAATTATATTAAAAAATAAATTTAATTAAGTAATAAATTAATACAGCAGTACCTGGGATAATAGGGATACAGTCCCTGGGACGGCGGTTTATAGGGGAACATGAACTTGCACCACACCCACCATATACGCTGTCCAGATAAAAAATGAAGCTCTTCATCAGCTTAGTACAGCTCATATACGCATATAAATAAATTCGATGGAGAAGTGTCGCTTACTGTGAAATCATCACCATTGCCCCTGTAAAACAGCACACGATGAACATGTGTTGTCGGACATGTGTATGTGTTTGTGTACCGGATGCTACTTACATTACTCCTGATCAGTCCCGAAGAATAACATGAAAAACAGAGCATTAGTTCTCAATACCGGTGATTTTTGATGATCATCAGTATTTATAATTGCTGGTACATGTGGACATACCAATAACCGCTTCCCCATCGAAGCACTCGACGATCCATTTCCGTTCCGGCTGATTGTAGTTGGCGCCGATATGGGCGTCCCAGGTCTGCATAATCGTGTCACCCTACCAATGAACACATAAAGAGAAAAATAAAAATTAAGATGGCATAATAGTAATTAAATGAGGCTTCGTAAGATTTGGCTCCATTTGATCGATTTTAGCCATGTTTGTACAATTGTACCAACCGTTCCGTAAGGCGTGTAAATTTTGTAATGACCGAACGTGCTTCCAGCTGAGTCGAAGAGGAGAAACAGTCCACAGGCGACCAGTAAGAAAGCGGCCAGCGTTCGCCGCCGCATCTTCCCGAGAATAATTGATACGAAACCGAAATTAATCACCGCTCCTTTGCATCCACCATTGAATTTATATCGCAGTAAAGCACAAGAATAGAAAATGTGAAGCAAGCGGGACTTTCAAAGTAAAATACAACCGAGGAGCACGTCAGTCTGGTCCAGTTCCGCCTTAAATTAATTCACAGTAGAGTACAGCATTAATACGAACACGCGTATATACAGTTGTAATTACACGATACTTTACTCTGTTGGATATTATGGCATTATCTTGCATTTCCGTAATACGACGGCTGTTACTTCTGCCGGCGTCTGCGTATACTTGAAAACCATGAATCAAGGTCAGCAGCACATTTGTGAGCTCGTGGGCATCACTGCGCCGGCCGCTGCCAACGAACTGGCCGCCATCGCAATCTGCGCATTACAGCGATATGCAGTACAATTAACTTTCAGCGACAATAATTACAGCCGTGTTGTTTGTGGTGTACAAGGGCAGCTGTGTATTACATCATCTGGCTGTTGTGTCCTTCCCGATTATCTGACCTGTTTTATCGGTGTGAAGCATGCACTGACCGGAAGTGATATATACAGCTGACATAATGGGGCGATTATCTTTCTGCTGGACAGCGGCGATCGTCGTCTTCCTTAATTGTCTTCCTTATGTACTCCCCACTAACCGATACTACGGGACATACGTCACGTATGGATTTGTGAGTGGCTTGATAATTTCTTCCCGGCGCATCTGGGCATCGTCCTCTTGTATATATTATGCTTGTTAATATAGGGCGACACGTATATCAATACGAATCACGCGCACCGCGGCCCGTCGCATCCGCACCGGAAGTGGAATGTAGAGTGCTTAGATGGTCAGTACTTAAATCATCCGTTAGACTAAACCCGTGTCACACTTTTAATTGTCTGTATACATATGTACTCCTGTCAATAATTTGATGTACTGATTGGCACGTACTGATTCTGAGGATATAGTCGGATTCAGTTTTGTGAATAAAACGGAATAACGCAGGAATTACAAAACGTAATACAGAATTATAACGGTGATTTTTCTTGCAGGAGAGGCGGTTATCGGCATCGGGTAGGTGGGTGTCTCGGTTTTGAAGATCGAAAGTAACACAAATGGTTTTAATGAATATGATCCACAGTGACCGTGTATCAAATGGGGAATATTGTTTAATTAGGACCGTCACAGATCGTATTGTACGTTAAACTACAAAGCGGGAGATTGAAGTAACAATTTATTGGTTTTGCAGCGATCTTACGGATGATTTTCAGGTTAGCCGGCACAAGTGTACAGTGTAACAGTTTTGAATACGCCACATGTTGTCAATATTGTAGAAATTGGTTACCGTATGGTGCCGTTTCACCTTTCCCTATAAACCCTTCCTCAACGGCTTGTATCCCTACTATCCCGAGTGAGCAATAACGACGCCCCATTTTCTAGATATAAAAGCATAGTAAAAATATTAGTGCAACGATCGCAAGGAATACCGTATAGTTTTCTTTTCTCGTGGTAGTTGTTGGGCGCTGAACTTCACCTTCCAGTGGCACTGCTATAGTCCCAAGTATCACGACGCCTCCGTTAACTCCTTCGTCACCGGTACGTTCATGGGCATATGTTTCGGCGCACCGTCAGTGTTTACAGTACGGTTCTTTTTATTCGGTTTCCGGCAGGTTTTGGGACGAGGAGATCTCCTTCTTCGTCTTCCGGCCATTCTTAGATAATGCGCAGCCGTATAAGTGCTGTAAAACGCCGCAGGGATATTACATCGACTACATGTCCTGCTACTACATGCCGACACGCGATCAGTATGGTCAGTTGTTTACACAACGACGTTATACGAAATTAATAATAATCTTTTTAATATTACGGCCTAATTTCGCGTATAAGTTAGACGATAAGGTTGACGTCTTTGACTCGTTTATGGTGCACACAAAAGTTTGCGTGCCGTATTGCAAGAATCGATATAAAAACATGTTATATGTTACATAAGTCCATGTGCATGCTTAATTAAATATACCTACATATTTATATTTTGTTCGTAATTACGTATCTATATTACGCAATGCGTAGTATCTATATACTGTGATGCGTAATCACACTGTACACAGATACTGTATTAGAATTTCTGTGCCAACGTTCGTCCTCATGCGTAACGTCAAAGTAATCCACTGACGCCCAATTTTTAGGAGAATATTACGACTCATCGATGCACATGCTGGTATACTGCGCGAGCGGCTACGTGGTCACCGGACTAGCTAAGAAGATGAGCGTCTGGACCAAAGACTACCACATTGAATGGTACTGCTGTCCCTTTTTAGTCCTGTCCTGTCAGTCCCACCTCTTGTCAGCATTGCTAAATATTCACACCGGTGTCTGTATTACGGCGGTAGTAATAATGTACCGTAGTCATATTTTTAAAAACACAAGAAATATAAGAATGACGGCCAGAAATAATAAATTGTTGATTAGGATCCATTGCTGCCGGGTGGGCTACGGTGCCGTTCCCGACTTCAAGCGGCTCCCGAGCAGCGGCGCATACTCTTACGGGAGCTACGCCAACACCAGCCAGCCGGGCCGACCCACGGCTGCGTACGCTGACCAATACAACATGGGCAATCTGGGCGCGCAGGCCCTGAAACGCGGGTACGCCGGCGGCCAGGCCCATGGCTATGACCAGAGCCCCTACACCTCCGCCGGAAGGTCCCTGGGCCCGGCGGATCTCTCGGTCAACACCGTCAGCCGATTAGGCAGCAGTCCGGGCGATGAACACGACGAAGAACATGAAGAGCACGATACGACGACCTATAAACCGGCGTATCCGGTGGAAGCAGAGGTCTTTTCCGGCTATGACCCCGACCAGCATATAGGCGAGGAGCCGGGGCTAGAGTTGACGCATCCGGACGTGTACCAGAAGGCTAGCGACGCCTTTTCGGCCTGGTAGAGAAGTGTGTGTTTGTTATCATTGGAGACTGTGATTAGATGCCAATGCGTTCATGTTGCTTGGTTGTTGTTGCATGGCGCTCGTTGCTGTACGTATTTGTCCGTCCGGTTTTCTTTCGAGGCGGAGGTTTGCGCGGTAGTTGTCGCCGTTGTATATTAATATTGTTGATATGGCAATCATTTATTCATCTTGGATGGATTGTCATAATTATTGGGGAATTAGCAATAAAAACAGCACAATTAAAAGTTATAATAATTACACGCATATACGTATTAGGAACAAAAAGGTAGCTGATCAAGAAATCCTGTTAATTTTTACTAAGGTGTTCGTTTGGTTTGAAAAATTCCTAATAAATGTGCTGCCTTTACACCGATACCGGTAAACATCCAATAAGAATAAAACTGATTTTGTTAATCCGTTAGCAGCACCGAAAAAAAATATTGCACGTACAGGAAATAAACGAACGAGGTCATTTCTGCGATTGATCACAGCCGTGGCCTTCATTGTTGCATCAACACCATTATAAAGCCGTAAAAACATACTGTACAGTGTACAGTATAGCGTACAGTATACAGTATATATGTACAAGCCCATCCAACAATTCTTTGACCGCTGTAAGCGGGAATTTAAAGAAACGTGGGCTTGAGCCATTTTATGTGCTTCGACACATCACGCCACATGAGTCTGCGTATTCAACGTAAATAAGCAACAAATCTGCCAGAATCTTTACAAATCTATTCCAGTGCGATATGAGAAGGTCTTCCACGCAGGTGGCGCTTGAATTGAGTATTGATATTTTGTTCCATATTTCGTTTCATGAATGGTAGTTCATAAACTGATCTGTTTCTTTTGTAGTTACTGGTAATTTAACTATGATAATTCTAACTGCGATCTGTTTGGTTTTGTGGATTAACCTGATAATTTTAACTGTGATGATGCTTTATCGGTGATCAACTGTGATCTAATGTATTATTGTTGGTTGAATATTTATAAATATATCTGCCACTGCACTACGATGCGTAATTGCATTACTGTGCGCGATTTATATGCGCTGCGCTTACAGCGGTCAAAGAATTGTTGGATGGGCTTGTAGTATACAGTGTACACTGTACAGTATTGCATACCGACTCTAGCTTCTGCCGCTTCTAATACTGTAAGTGTAAGCTCCATTTCTACAGGCCCAGGTGATTCCGATAAAACCGACCGTGCAGGATGACGACAAAATAATTAAGCAGTTAGTTCTCCGTATCAACTTTATTGGTCGAATCGAAACGCAATGCAAGTTGAAGAACAAAAAACACTTAAAGCTACAAAAACACGTAAAGCTACAACAGAAAAAAGTCGTTCAACTTATCCAGTCCTTCCATCATGCCCATCACCGACGCCGCATTTCCCCGTTGAATTTCTATCGATCGGACTCTGCTGCTTAAAATGTCGCCGACCGAAGGCGAAAGTCAGAACTCGGAAGTCTCGTCCCGTCCGATCGAGGTGACGAGGCTGATGACTTTCGCCTTCGGAGGCTACCGGAAGCCCAGCTAAGCCTATACGGCTAAGGCGATACATATGGTTAAATCTGGCGCGGTACATATGCGCCATGTTCAGCCACAACGTCACCCTCCAGCCGGGTGACTGCAGCAGTACAGAGGAACGGTGGGAGATGCCTGGTTCTGCTACTTATTGAAACATACAATGCTAGTATGCTCAAATATCAGGTGATTTTCGATGATTACAGAAAGTAATCGTAATGTCATGCTCGTACACGTGGGGACGGCCGGACATACTAATGTCGAAGCATTCGACGAGACGATCCACTTCCCTTCTGGCAGATTGTAGCTGGCGCCGATATGGGCGCCCCATGTGTGTATAATCGCGTCACCCTGGCAACGAAAATGTTATAATAGAAAAACAAGAAATAAAAAAGCTGCCAAATCTGCCAAAAAAGGTTTAAAAAATGAAAACCGTTGCATTTGATTGCACTGAATTTAGAATTTCAACTAGTCAACTTTCCCGGTAAATTGCAAAAATTTTGTACATACCGCTCCAAAACGCGTGCGAATTTTGTAATGACCGAACGTGATTCCGGCTGAGTCCAAAATACGGTCCACAGGCGACCAGTGAGAGAGCGGCCAATGTTCTTCCCGAAAATAATTTATTACCAAACCGCGGATATTAATCACCGCCGATCTTTTACATCCAACAATGAATTTTCAAAGTACATGAGTATTTGTCACAAATTTTCTATAAAAGTGAAAGATGTACTGTATACTGAATACACAGCCTCAGCCGACTACGGAAATAGGCGGCCTAATCACACAGAACATTTCGTCTAAGTTAGCCGATACTGGTGCTGTTCCCATGACTGCTAGGCCGCGTTCCCGCGTTGGATGTCAATGCTGATCCGTTGGCGCAGATACTCCGTCGCCCGTACCTCGCCTGTTTCCTGTTGTATCATCTTCCCGACATCGGTGACCAAACGAGAGGCGTCCGGTCCGAGTGTTTCGACGCCAACTGCACGGAACAGGTAATCTCGGCTGAGTTCCCGATACTTTGCCATTTTTTCCTGTTATGCGCGCTCCGCGGCTGCCCCCGCTTGCTTCGATGTTGCCGCGATGTGCGACGCAAACACTGAATTTCTGCGGCAGTAAAGCACCAGAACAAGAAATACGTACATAGCAAGCGGGACTTGCAATGGAAAATAAAACGTGAGGTACCACGTCGGTCTGGTCCCGTTACAACTCAAATTAATTCACAGTAGAATATAGCATAAATACGAACACACGCGTGTATAATTAGACGATATTTACGCAACACATACCTATAAACAAGCTGAGCACGGATGAATATTGGCTTACGACTGTGTAAATAAATTAGTTTAACATTCATAAGTTGCAGCGTATTCGTGGAAGCAGTACCAGTTATTATTTTGTTTGAAAACAGTTGGTTTTTGTATAAGACAACAGATTTTATTCAGTTTATCAGATTTAAGAAATGACACGAAACGCTCTGCGGTCAACTTGCGGTTGTATCAGGTGAAATTATTCTTTTCTTGTCGTATGGCTTATTCTTTATAGTGATTAGCCAACCTGCGACGCTGACCGTAATTATCGGTTATTAGTTTAGCAAACTAGCAGTTTGCACTTCTTCTTTGAGTCAGGGTCTATCAGTCCAGTATCTACTAATGCCCAGTTCTTGGATTGTTGACCTTTGTTAATAGAGTTCATTTGGTTTTGTGGCTCGGCTGCTAATTTTATGTTTATTCTGCTAAACTCGCGAAATTGTAATAGGCAAGCGTAGCCAACAAAGTTTCCGAACTTATGGCAGCATAAATCGCACAATGTGCGGCTATCCGTAAAATCGTGCCCAGTATAACAATTAAAATTAATAATGTATCTGAGCAGTACTCTATATCTGAGCAGAAGCCTGCATTTTTAGGCAAACAATGCAGAAGATTGCAAATGTACAGATATGGATGAAGGGCTGGATTAATATTGGATAAATCTTAATGCCAAGAATAAAGAAACTACATTAATACGTACGAAATAAATAACTGATAAGCATCAGAAACCGTGGATAATAAATATAGCAATAAAATATTTTCAACCCACTAATATACATTTATTAATATGTTTGATAATAGTTAATTAAGTATCAGCACATACTGATCGTGGTGGGGAAACAGCTGCAGGAGAAATATTCGGTGTAACGTCCAGTCGGCGCTTTTCAGCATCTGTATGGTGACAGATCATCCAGCGTCTTCCGGTAGACGTTAAAGGAGGAATCACATATCGTCATAAAAGTCTTATATTCCAGTTTCCAGTAATGGTAATAGCACGCTGCATTATGGAATATTCGGTCAACATTCTGGCAGTATTCGGTCAAATTTGGACAACAGCACGAGACTGCATTAACCGCCGTTTGTCTGCGAATGTGCGGCTCCGTTAATTAGTTGAAGGAGATCGGCAAAGCGTTATATAACAGAAGGAGAAAAAGCCGCTCCATTTGTTTTCTGTTTTTTCAAGTAGAACTGCCTTTTTTACGAATTGAAGGTGCTCTGGATAAACTGGGCGGATTTTGGGCGGAGCTTATTTTCGCAATCGCGCCAATATCCGATTGCGCAGTTGAGTAAGGGACGGCTAAACGTGATAGCCGGCGCATGCAGCCGGGCTCGGCTAACCGCTGATCGACTGACTGGTTCAGACGACTTTCGGGCGGAATATTGTACCCGGCCGCTTTTCAGCAAAGCAAGAAATATGCACAGAAAAAGAAGATGGCGACGAAGAACGAGCTACTACAGCGGTGCCTTATCAAGGCCACGTTTGCAGAATTGTGCCCTGTGGCGTGAAGATTGCTTAGAAAAATTTAAATTAAAACGCTTTAACCGTTAAGATAAGTATAATATTGCTACAGCACATTCAGAGCGCGTTAATTTCCTTTTTCGAACAACAATCCAATTATAGCGATCCCAAGTCGCATGTTTTATACAGGAGCTGGCGCGAATGTGATCTTGAAGATTTACAACTGTGTTAGGATATGCCTTATGCATACAGCTGTGTTACGCGGGATTATTATTATTATTTATTATTATTATTTATTGTTACATCAAGAGCGGGGCTGATGAAGCATTAAGTACGCAGCCAGGTACGGAAAAACATACTTTTAATACATCTTTATGAAGTCCACTGCATCTTGCTGTATCGTGATCGTATCCTCTAGAAACATAATCCGGCTATTAACGTATTCTCATAATTTTCGGTTAAAATAATAAAGATCTTGCTGCAAAAACTGCCTAACATTTTTTAGAACTCATTAAACTGATTTAAACTTGTGTTTAAAGCAAGGTGCCGGTTCGAAAACTAAAGCAGAAAAAATGTTCGTGCAAAGCCAGCAAACGTTATCCCTGCAAAAAAATTGAAAAACTAATTCAAAATTTCTTGGAACTCAAAGTACAGAGTCAGTTTCGCGTGAAACTTGGAACCGACACAAATTTTTACTGCGGAAACAGCCAGAAATTCTGTACAAAGAGTAAATTAAATGTAAATTTTTGAGTACATACTGTACAATACAATACATTATAAAAAATTTATTTGGACGTGTGCGCATTCCAAATTTATTTTTGTAATCACCTGCGGTCCGGGGGTACTCATCGGCACTATTGTCGCAGGCTGTATGGTTGTATTAAGAATTTTCTTACAATGAGTGTGAATGTGTGATCCACAACATTAGGTATCTACATCGCGGCTTTCGTGATCGACGTGATAATATAGCCAACGTGAAGCGAAACAATCATGAGAACTGAAAACGACAGAAAATATTTCGTCTGAAAAAGGGGGAGTTATCATGGATTACATCTTATTCTTTTATTAATAAACCATGTGCCAAAAGGAGGCTTTATCCAAAATTCGTAACAATTAACTATTTCTTATCGAATTTCTAACAGTTTCTGTGAAAGCGTGCCTCGGCTTCGCGCTCCGCGCGAAAATTCAGTTTTTTTCCTGAACATGATATCACATTATTTTAGCCGCTTAACTTCCGCTGCAGAAAAATTTCAACTGTTCAATTTATTTTCACTAAGTTTTATAGAATTTATAGCAGTTTCTGCAACGAAAGCGGTCGTTGGCTTCGCGTGAAAAGTCACCGTCTTTCTGAACTTTAAACATTAAGTATCGCATTTTTTTGCCATTTGACATCCGCGTAAAAATATTTCATAATTTTAGCCATTTTTTGTTATGAATTTTTTAGCAGTTTCCGCAGCGATAACGTTCGCCGGCTTTGTGCTTCACGCGAAAATGTTTATTTCATTTAATTTTCGACTTGACAGTTGACACCTTGCTGTAAAAAATTTTGATTTTGCTTCGTATTTTTTATACAATGTTTTGTAAGTGTTGCAGTAAGTTATTGTGCTATCTTTGGGGTTCTTAGGTTCTCAGTGCCCCTCTCGCTCAGGCGAATTAATTCGCCTATGCGATAACATAACTGCAGTTACTGTGTAACTCGGTTAAACGGAAATGGTGCAGTGTACCAAATGAAAATTAATGGCTTTTTATTGCGTACAATAAACAAAAGTAGCACACTCTAATGTCGATGCACGGGCATGGTCGCCGCTTACTCTTGGCGCAAACGCAATGCTTCTCTGCCATAGCGAGAAGAACACGGCTACATTTTACACCCGAAGATTGACCGAAGGCAAATGGTATCATACAAGATAAACTCAAACGTATCATATGTAATTCAACTGACGGAAAAATATGGAAGGCTCTTTTTGCTGGATGTGTTACAAACCGACACTACCATGCCGACAGATATGCCGCGCAGAAGATTATCAGTTCAACGAGGAATTAAGTCAAAGTCAAATTAAGTCTGGAAGACGACCACAGGGATCGGCATTATTTGAGAATAAGGAATTTACCGCCGACAAGTGTCGGCTACAGCAACTTAACATACATGGACTACCAATTTGGGTCAATTTATTAGAGAAAGCAGTTTATTCCCATATTGTCCTGATTTAAGAATCTTAAACTGCAACAATTTCTTTTGACACTTTCTGAGCCCATTTTTGCCGCCGCGATTAAGCGTTACTACACAACGTTATTATAACGAAGCGCTTTATAACGAAGTTTTTATTAGTCCGTAATACATATTGCGGGCAATTTTGTGGGTGCCAGGTCAAACATTACATAAATGTCAATTTTCGCGATCAAGCATTTTTGCTGCTAAAATTCCATTAAAATAATGAGATTGATTTTTATCTCCTGTATCGAAAGAAAGGCAGGATGCACGGTTGCATCCTGCAAAAGGTTTAAAGAAAACGTGAATGTTCGCGCGAAGCCGGCCCACGTTATTCCTGTGGGAACTGCTAGAAATTCATTAGAAAATTTCGCCCAGAGATTTTGATTTCGCTTTACAAATTACACTAAGGAGCTATAAACAAAGTAAATCAAGCGCGAAACGATTTTACTGCTAAAATTGCTACAGTAGAAATGCAAATAAAAAAAGTAATTTTGTCAGATTTTTTGCAAAATCGTTTAACGTCTTAAGCCGTGCTCCCCCTTTACTCGTTTGAAATACTTCATTTTGAATAAAATTCCGGATGGGAAAGTGCCTCCGTGAGCAGCCCCTCGCTAATTCAGCAAACAATTACAGTATTGGTTTTGCTGAAAGGCTGATAAATGAAATATTATGTGACTTTCTGATAAACTTGTGGAACTTTCCTTAAAGATATACTCGACTACGTGCAACTTAGAAGGACGTGTACTGTACTTTAACATCAAACTTCATACAAAAAATCTTATCTGAAAACCGCCGCGCTTTTCTTATTTATGTTTAAAGCGCTGTCAATAACTTGTCATATTGTTAATCAGGTGCATAATAATACAGTATGTACCTGTTTTGAGTTTGCGGGGTTCAAGGTGATACTGGAAAAGACACGAGCGAAAGTAAGCTATCATATATATTGACGAATGAGTGCCATGTACAATTAGTACCGTAAAGTATTAACACAAGTTATTACTGGCGCTGAACGAACGAAATATGTCTAACAAAACCTACTAAGGCACAAGATTCTATAGAAAAAGTTTTCACAGTGAACATGTAGTACTAACACAAGCACAATAATCTGTAATGGACGCAGGTTCCAAATTATTATGCTTACTTTTTCCGTTAATCGCGCGAATTATGCATTCGGCTCGAGAATTGTCTATTTCCGACATAGGTACTTCTCTTGTCAATAACAATTTTTGTGTACTGACGATGAAATCGTGGTTAAAAAAGCGCAGATACTTGTACAGATTAAGATCGAGAAAGAAGTACAGTACTACGTGTACGATATTTAATTTCCTATGATGCCGTCGTAAGTTCGGTCAGTTTATGTGGTTTGGAAATTTTGATACTGGGATGGCATAAACTTCCAAATAAATTAACGAAATTAAATTGAAACGAAGAAATATTTATTTATTTTTCGCCGATAAAATTTATACTCTGTAATTTGACTGCCGGTGTCCCCTCGTTAAATTTGGTTTATTCGTGCACTTTGTAGTTCGGCGTCGTCAAGTATCAGCCTAATAAATTTCTTGCAGTCACCCTGAATGACGCCGTAGAGATATGTGCGTGGGCATTCAAACCTTACCACAAAGTTATGCAGTATAAGGTTTATAACGAGCTGGTTTTTTGTGAACATTTTACGGTTCAACCGGTTTTAAAAGTGATAACTGGTTGAACGGCAGGGGCGGCCGCTGTGACCATGCCGCAGCAGGCAGCCGGTTAAGTATGCCTCCGCTCATCTGCCGGATTAGCATGTAGTGCTCTTGCCCGCAGGATCAGCACTGTAAGTGTACGCTTAAGTACACTGTGGTGCAGCGACCGTTTATAAAAAGCCATGCAACTGCCAGCAAGTGCCTTTATACTTTCCTACCTGAACGGTGGGAGCATTTTCCATAGCTGCCCAGGTCGGATAATACTATTATTATAATAGTATTATTATTATATTGTTGTTTAGTCAGTAACATTATAAAATATTATTACTTATCATCACATAATCTTACCATATTCTTTTTATGATTTTCACGTTATAGTAATTATTAAAAGAACTCATTGTAATAATTATATTTGTTTTAGTTACTGTACTAATTGAAAATAATACATTAATAAAAGACTAATCCGTCGTGCGCACCAGCGCAGACACACTTGATGCGTGTAGTGGCTGATCCCGAACGCAATAGTGAAGTAATTATATCAAACGGTAGTAAGCATACAGTAAATAATAAATAATACGAACAGCAAAAGTATTATAGGTAATTATTACTATAAATTCCAAAATATTTACAGTTGATAAAATGCACATACTTACGTTCGACACCTGCGTGAGCAGGGGACTTTACAATTCTTGCAAAATACTACGCCAGAACAAGGTACTGAAGGTAGTTATCTCGGGTAAATAAAAAATACAAATTCACGGTATCTACGAGTACGTAGATCACAGGTTTTACCTACGCACTGCGTACTGTAGCAGCATGTCCTCCAATATGCGATAATTGCGATACTCATTCATATTTAAAAATTCAAAATTAAATTTTTATAAAATTAAATTTATATTGATTTTTGGAGATCTTCAAGAACATAACAGGTTATAAAAGACGAAATTAAGAGGCGCATATTCAAAATATATTATCAGCAACATACAGACGAAAGATGAACGAATAATGTCGGATGCAGATGCCGTCCGCGTTTGGTCTTCATTGCGGCATGATCGTGAAACCGTGCAGCTAATGTACAAGATACTGCTGTCACCTTCCGCTTTGTAATTCCATTCCGACTCCACTCAGCCGCCTATTTCCGTAGTCGGCTGAGGCTGTGTATTCAGTACAATTCTTTCACTTTTATGGAAACTTGTGACTGTATTGTATCGGCAAGCTGAATAAATATGGATCATTCCATTCCTCCACACCCACACCGTTATTACCGTACAGCACGCTCAGATTGGCGAGTTGACTGTCTTTTGTAGAATCAAATTATGACAATCAATTAAACAACACTGGCGCGCCGTATATCTAGTTCTACATCGCGGCTTTCGTGATCGACGTGATAAAATGGCCAATGTGAAGCAAACACTCAAGAGAACCGAAAACGGCGGAAAGTATTTCGTCTGAAAAGGGTGGAAAAAGAGAGTTATCATGAACTACATCTTATTCTTTTATTAATCAACCATGTGCCAAAAGGAGCTTTATCCGAAACTCGTAATAATTAACTGCTGTATTTCTTTTCGAATTTCTTTACGGGAAAGTCAAAAGGCAAAAAACAATGTGATACTATGTACAAAGCTAAAAAAACCAGAAAATTTTGGCGCGAAGCGCAAAGCCGGCATACGTTTTCACTAGATTTTCAATACAACTTTTTGTACTTTTTAGCTGTTTTGCGCTATTTCTCCGCTCGGAACCATATGATGACCGATGAAGTAATTATTAGTTTGATTGTCGACTATTACTAGCTAAGTCGAAATTTACTATTTTTATTTCACATTTTTAGCAGTTTCACGTGGTTTACCGCAGACGGTGAACATCGAGGTGCACCGCTGGGGTGCGGTGAAAAACACCGCGATGCGATTTTTAAATTTTCACCGCACCGACGATCGACTTTTCTAAAAAGCGCCGATGGATTCGGTGCGATTTTAATTGAAAGTCGCACCGCAGTTGCACCGCACCGTACCGAATGTACCGTTAACAACCCTAGAATAAACATTCTGGGGAATTAATTAAACGAAATACTGGTGCCCGTAACGATTAAAAAATTACTGTGATTTTCACACGACGGAAAGCTAACTGAAGCAATGAAAAACGCTACGCGCAATGGACGCACGTGAAATGGACGCTTCTACTGTATGAAATGAACGCTCCGTAGACAGTAGGTATTGTACTATGAAAGTCTCGAAGACCGGTCTCGCGTTGACCCCACGCAGTAGCCAAGAGGCTTTTATGTATACTTACAGCATCGCTGTTTGTTGACCACCTCGGCGTCCAGTTGCACCTGCGTTGACAATATGGCTTAAGTTTGCTCGTCCGCTAATCAAGCAAACGTTGGCCGGTCATCCGCCGACAATGCAGTTCCACTTTGGCACTTTCCAACGATGATGTACAGTATAAATTGTGGCGCCATGGCGTATACCACACAAATCGCACAAGCATAATTGAAGCACCTGCATGTTTTCATTTTTACCTTAGCCTACATTAAACTCCTCGTACTTCTACTGTAAAACATGGACAATTTAGATTTACCTTTGTCGCAGTACCTTGTCGCAGTCCTCTTTTTCGTGACCTTTGGCATTTGCGCCAAATCGAAGGGCTTTCTTCGATTGTTTTTTTCTTTAGCCATCAGTGGCACACAAAGATCAAACGACCTTCAGGTTGGTAGGAAAGTTCATTTGGTATTTGTATGGCAATGAAATTTGACTATTTTTATAGCAAGCCTTTGCCGGAGCCGTTCCGGCAATTGTTCCACCGCCGGAAACGGTAGCTGCTGCTACCGCCAACGACGCGGCATTAACTGTCATCCACATTGGCGATTCAGTGATGAAACCAGGATAGGATAGCTTGTCGAAACGGTTCCTTACCCAACCTAGCTCCAATCCTACCCAATCCTACCCAGCTTGTGGAGACGGTTTCCCGCCCAACTGGATCCGCTCTTTAAGTAATGTTCTTTTAATTTCATGAATTTTTTTAGCTTTTAGCTGAATACTGATTTGGTTCCTAATTTTGATCATATCTGAATAGCAAATGATTCGCTGTCCTACTAATTAAATTTAGTAAAATATAAACATCCACATTATTATGGAAACTGATCGTTCCGGTCGTTGACAGTCGTCCATTTTCAAAAGCAGTGCTTCCAATGATTTTTGTCCGTTACGGCCAGTAAAAAATTAAGCTCCACATTTATCAGATAAGAAGCTGGAATGGTTTTGCTGCTAAATTAAAATTACATAATACGCTGATTTTTAAGGGTACTGGTAGGTGGTACTGTATTTGAAAAAAGTTATAACCTCATACAAGCAAAAAGGTGTTGCTCCGGTTTTGCTAATACATACACGCAAACATGCATTTTTCATAGCATTTAAAAAAACAGTTTCCACTGTCCAGTTTAGCGTTCGTGACGGCTGTAATCTTTGTGACCGCGTTTAGAATTCGCAGAAGCGAACTAAGATAATTTACAAAACGAAAACACTTTATCAAGCTACATGAATTTGGATGTTCTGCCCAAAACTTAAAAACTTGTACGGTAGGCAAAAAATTTGTATTGCTATCCGGGCGTTCCCCCTTCGGCTCCTTCTTCGGTAAGTGTTACAATAAGCTTACGAACTGCTGCAACCGGCCCAAAACTGATTTATAGTCAGCCGGTCGTTGCACGTAGCACATTCCGCATATACAGCTAAGGCAGCAGAAGATAAGATCTGCAGAGCAGTTGAAGTTATTAGATAATATCTAATAATATTACATATCTAATAATAATAGATATAATATTATTATTAGATAGTAGAGATACAGATGCATTATGGCGATTCGTTGGGCTTAGTGCATTACAGTACAGTATGTTAACGCTCATGATGGTTGCGAACGGTGAAAAACACAGAAATGATTTCATCGAAAAGCAGAGAGGATGTTAAAAAATTAAACATGATGTTCCACGATGAAAACACGGTGTTTAAAAGCGCAGGCATGATTTTGTGGTACGGAGACAACTGGACAGCCATAATGCATCGCTGCTCTCCAGTAACTAGTACTTTGACTGCTCTGCAAATTTTATCTTCTGTTTGTTCTACGTCAGTAAAATTAAAATAAAACTTTATTTTAAGGCTCAGCACAAGTCCCAAAACTACAGGGTTGCATTGAGTTCATTGAAATGCCTGGAATTGCGCTGGTGCTTCGTGAGGTTACGGTAACGAAACAAAAATCGCATTACGTGCGGTAACAAACCGTGCCATATCTATCTCGAAGCCAAAAAAGTTGCCGCTATAAGCACGCAAATTGAACAAAATCCTTGTTCTTAAATGCTGCTTGAAACGGTAGCCTTTCTATTAACCTACTGATACCGGTATTTCGTACCTAAGACGGTATTACCTACCCTGGCTTACTCATGCAGGACTAGGCACTACCTTTGCCTTACAATAGAAATTATTTAGCTGATTCAGTTCAACGTTCATACAATCTAGTATCTATCTCATACCTACTGCAGTTACTAAAACCCATAGCAAGCAATCCGGTCTGCGAAAACACGGTTTACCAAATTACCATACAGAATTTCAAGAATTTAAAGTACAGAATTTAAAGTGCAGCAATAATTAATTTTGTCTAGAAAGGTAAATCGTCAAAAAATGATGTGGCAGCGAAATACATGTAGAAACTATAGAAAAATTTCAGAAAAAATTTCATCTAATTCATTCATTCAACTAATTTCACCTAGTTTTTAACAATAAGCCTGCGCAGATTTACACCAATTAAAATGAATAGTTTTAAACATTGAAAAAACACCCATAATCCATATTGTCAGTACGTGCACGCAGCGTACCTAAAACGCCCGCTGCATTTCCTCTGACTACTGCTAAGCTTAAACGTTGTCTGAGAAAAGCCGTAGAACGAGGTTCCCCAGTAACTTCGCGGATCTTCCAGCCGGCGAAACGGATCAGCTCAGAAAAGTACGTCCCGAACGTCTCGACTGCCAGAGGATAGAACAGATATCCCAGTTCTTCGATGAAGGCATATTTCCCGCGCTTACTAACTTCAACCAACTGCGCTACGCTCCCGGCTTTCCTCGAGCTAGCGCTCACGTGAAACAAGGCCAGTTTTTTCATTTCTTTCGGCGAAACTACAGCAGCAAAACGCGTGAGGGAGCAAAATCGCTTTTTCCCCGAAACCAAGTGCTGGTTATAAAAAGTAACGATGACCACGGGGAACTGTTACTATGGAGTGTCGCGCGCTCATGTTGCCGATGGTACTGAAAACATCAACGCCCAACACTTCCCGGGTCCTATTTTGTGGCGCATGGTCAAGGAGGATTTCCATGGCTCTACCGTGACCTTGGGAAGGAGTCGTTCTTCCGTTGGACTACGCCAACAGATATACTGCTGCCCTGACCCGGAAGGGTCTTCGAGTTCCTGGTGTGACGTGCACTCCGATGGGCCACGAGATGGCCAAGATAACTGATTTAGCACCTTTGGAATAATAGGAATTCAGATTGAATTTTATTTGAGAGAAAGGCGACCACGGTAGCTGATCTGCAACGCGTTTTCAAAGATGTTTAATTTCTAGCTTGATAGTAGTTAACAATATAAGCACGAGTAGATTACTCCAACAAAGCTAAATAATCTGTCATTGTCAAGACTCGAAAGGGAGTGCAAACAAAGTTTAAAAGTCAAAAATTTTCCGTGCGCTACTTCATAGTTCGCGCGTTAGTAAGTACAGTACTCGTATCAGTCGTATGCGAAGTATTTATTACGTGGATCTGCGAAAAACACGACACTTATGCGCGCTCAGTAGTATTCTCTGTTCCCCGGTTTCGCAAAAAGGTTTTGAACAGAGAAAATGGCAGTAATTTTTTTTTTAGAGATAGATCTGTAGGAGCATTTAATCTCTTTTAGTGTTCGCAGTATACTGTGTTTGCTGAAAATTGATAGCGCATAATCTAAGTAAGAAGCTCCTACCAATCTATCTCTCAAAATCACAGTTCACTGCCTTCTACTTTGTACAAGCCATTCCTGTGAAACTGGGTGAACAAAAAAACAAAATAGATCTGAGAGGGGACTCAGGAGAGGGAGTCGGTGGTGTTCCGCTGATAAGGCAATATGCGAAAGTACCTGTCAAGGTTTTCTAATGGTTCAAGCATCGTTCATCAAATTTCCCTCTTATAATCGGACGCGCTTGCAAAATAAATCCTTCGTAAACCGCGCTTGTTGCTCGTAACCTACAAAAACGCAGGTTATATAAAATCGGCTCTGTTCTACCACGTGGGATCACCAAGGGTTGTCATCCCACCGTAATTTTTGTGTTGGGATGTGATGGGATTGCGAAGTGATGGGAATAGCGGGATTGGTGGGACGAAAACAAAATAAATATTAATGGATTATATTTCGAAAAATAATTATTTTAATGTTTTCATAAAGTATGAATGTTGTAAAGACAGTTATCACAAGTGAGAAAGGCATCATCAATCAAATTAAATGGCATGTGGTCATTGTGGTGGAAGTGGCGTACCGTACCGTAATGACAAAACTGCTAAAGGTCTTTATTATAAAGTTTTCTCCGGGCACCGCTCGCCTGATTTTTAAAGGAAGAAAAATTTGTAGCGCGCAAATGTGGAATAACTGAAGCGCAATAAATTTTTGGCACTAAAACACATATTTTCGGGCAGTGGAAAACCATCCCATCACTTCCCAATCCCATCATTCATCCCATCACATTATCACAGCCATAATTTTCCGGCATGATGGGATTGGGAACCGGAAATCGGCGTGATTGTGATAGTGTGTGATGACGTGATGACAACCCTAGGATCACCTACCTTCCAAATAGACTTTCCGATGTCTTTTTGCTGAGTTGCATTAATGCCAGGAGTAAAACAGAACCCAATTTCCATATAGCAAATAACTTCCTCTTAGAACTCTGGACATTTATTCAGGCACTCTTCATGCAAACCTTCAAGATCTATCGCTTCGCCAGCACCCTGAACAATCTTGCAATTGCTTCATTCGGTCTGGTGTTACAGATTTAACAGGCTCTTGATCTTGCGTCTCAATGGAAAACTTGACGGTGGCAGTGGCAACGATCTGAAATTTTTTACTTTCACTTTTAATCGTGCGGAGCGTAGCGAAGGTTCTCTTAATTCAGTACCAGTGCAAAAATGTACCTGTGTTCGTTACGAAAGTGCGTTACGGAAGTAGCAACAAACAATAAAGCAAATTTTTCCTTAGCAACGCTCCGGTCTGCCAAAGCACGCTAACTTGTATTTTTCTAGTTATAGAGTAATGCATCGCAGCACAAATTTTCCGACGTGGCGAGGAATGAAGTTTGTCTGTACGCAAGAACTGCGATGCAGTAAGCCGTACGTACGAGTAAATACGAGTATATAAAAATCTTTTTACTAAGCCCTCCGGGAGATGACCGGAAATCCCTCCGCTTAAGGGGCGCGGCTGATATTATGTGGATTATACTATCTTTCATAATAAGCGGCGGATCCCGCCTCCAACTCTCAGCGATCAAATCAGATTTTTTACTAAGCCAACTCACTAAGCGAACTAAGCTTACTAAAACCAAGCTAACCCCAACTAACTAAGCTGAACGCTTGGCCCATCGCGCACATCGACAATCGCTATCATTAAGGAACGGGTACAAGCCTCCGGCAGCACACCGAAGAAGCACGCTCACATAAGCTTCTCCGAGAGCGTTGGTCGATCGCAATACAACGGGGGAATACTGCACTATGCAGAGACAGCACAGTTACTCGGTTGTGATCAAGTAAAAAGTTGTAAAATAAAACGTTCTAAAAAAACCAAATTTACTAAAGTTTGTAAATAATACCTAGTAAATAGTAATATGTACCTGCTAGAAAATCCTAGCTAAGCAAAACAAATTTGCTCAACCAACCTGAACTGACAAAATTAACGAATTAAATAAGACTAACTACTGTAATTTAAATTCAGTTTACTGAATAAACGAGCAAAACATGCTGAATCAAAAAGAATTTTGTGTAATATATGGCACACGTTGTGAGAACACTTCCGCTTCCCCCTCCCCTCACTGGACAAAATATACTGCTAACTATAAAAATTTAACTACACAAGTCACGAACTAACCTCATTAAACTTACCGGCGTGCGCACGTCACCGCCTGAGATTTAACGGCAGCACGCACGTTATTACATGACAGATAACGACCACACGTTACCGCGTGAGACTTGACGGCCGTACGTTACCGCGTGAGATATAGCGGTGGTACATTATCCCATGACGGTTAACAGCCGTACGTTACGGTGTGAAAGATAACGGCCGTACGATACCGTATGAGAGTTAACGTCACTGCGTTATTACATGACAGTCAACGGCCGCACGTTACCGCGTGGGGGTTAACGGCAGCACCTTATTACGTGACAGTTAACGGTGAGAGTTACGTGACACTTAACGGCAGCACATTACGTGACAGTTAACGGTGAGAGTTACGTGACATTTAACGGCAGCACCTTATTACGTGACAGTTAACGGTGAGAGTTACGTGACAGTTAACGGCAGGACCTTATTACGTGACACCACACGTTACCGCGTGAGACTTGACGACCGTACGTTACCGCGTGAGAGTTAGCGGTGGCAAAGTACAGTACAGTCGTACTGTATTAAAGTTTTTTATTACTTTAATGAAAACGTTTAGCCTTATCAATTTAACTGCCTGCTAAGAGTCATCAACTCGACTCGTCACGTGATGCTGTTATCGCTAGGAGTTTAGTTTAAGCACATAGTGGCCTTCAACTGGAGAAATAAACCGGTTCGATTCGTTAGTCCGGGCTTCCATTTGCAGTATTCGGTCATTACCATCACTTTTGGTACAGTCTACATTATTTGCACAATTCGAGAGAATGGCAGGTCTGAGAACAGAAGGCGTTTCTATCAACCGGTTTCTCCGATCGGCCCCAGACCTTATTGTATGCCTGCGCTTGAAGGAAATTTGACCTGTGTACTCGGGCGTACGTTGTGGGAGAGCGCACATTAGTCGAATACATGACACTGTCGACACACAGTGTCGCGCCACTCATACTGTAGAAATTTCCTTCAAGTGCAGGGTTAGCGTACACTGTACAGTAATTACCGTACAAGCCAGGCCGCAAACGAAAGCCAAACTCTTGGTACGAATGCATTTACCGTATTATTGTTGACCTAGCATGAATGTATTGGCGTACATACCGTCAATCAAAAATTATTCAAAGCCAAAGTATACAAACGCAGACACTCAAGCCCGTCTCGGCGATATGTGCATGCACATACAATCATGTGTGCCTTGTACCATTTTCTCTGTCACTGTCTGAAGCCTACAGGGGGCACCTGCTCCGTGCCAGGACAATAAACTCCATTGTTCTGTGATTAAGCCGCCTTTGTTGATTGTGCTTAGCGTGACCGTTTCTGAAGTTACTGTGAAATTTTTCTGTGAACAGAAAGCATTAATAAATTATTAGCGAAAAAAATAAAATAAACTCCATTATTATTAATACATTTTAGACATGGCAATGTAATACAATCATGCACTACGTGTATAGCACCAGCTGTGTTCTCTCTGGGCCCTCGGTTAACAGGCAGTCGTCATATGTACGCTCCAATACCATAGAAAATTACAAATACCTTATTGTTATAGAAAAATTATTAATATTATAGAAAAACTGTACTTATTATAGAAAATAATAATAATTTTCTATGCCAATACTAAACGAAATAGGTAAGCATTGCTGTCGCCCGGTCGCATTGCTGCATGCATTTATGGACGGCCGATTCGCGCTGGACGGGAATAACAACGTGCGGTATCAAGCAGCGCCAACCACAAACACTATGAATAAAATATTTTATACAAGCTGAGCACGAATGCATGTTGGTTTTATACTGTAAAGCCAATATTCTGTAGTCTGTACTCGTACTGTACTCAGTACGGATTGCAGTTTTGTCGAAACGAAAACTAACGTGTTTTGTCGGAATTTTTAATGCAGCGTGTAAGCACTGTATATACGTATATTATTTTTAGGAAGGTCTACATTTAAAACATTATGCGCTTTTGATTACCGGAGTGCTGCTGTCGCTTGTCACCCAATTAAGCGTGTCACTGCACTCACCAGGGCACAATCAGAAGTTCGCCTCTCAGAAAAATTTTATTTTTTTTCTGGAGATAGAGTAGGCCCAGGTATATCTAAAAAGATACTTTCATCGGCAATGGCCCAGTGGGTGTGGCCAAACCCGAATTTAATTGTTGACGGTATTGCATGTATTGTCATTGCCGTACAGCCGCACTATTACTGATTACACTAACATATTTTATTTTCCGAGTTCTAAGTCACCCGTTATCATTGTGGTTTTTCAATTCTTTATTTTTTTTCTTAATCATTGTTTTGAAAATTTAATTTTAGAGAATCTCGCTACTTATCGACTGTGTTGAACCGTCCGTGTGCTGCAAATATTTTAGAGCTCAATAAGGAGCGAGATTCTCTAAAAATTTTAAATTTTCAAACAACGATTGAGGAATAAATCGAATGAAGGAGTAAAGGTTACAGGGTAGGGGCTAACGGGCAACACAACTCGGAAAATAAAATTTGTTTCAGTATAATGGTAATGCCGAGTACGACTTAATACGACAATGATATACATACAGTATATGCAGTACTATCAACCATTAAATTTGTGTTTGGCCACGCCCACTGGACCACTGCCGATGAAAGGATTTTTTTAAATATACCCTGGGCATACTCTCTCTCCAGAAAAAAAATAAAATTTTTGTGAGAGGCGAACCTCTAACCGTGCCCTGGTCAGAGTACTGCAAAATAAGCACTAAAGTCATGGTAATACTCCAAGTCCAGTCCATGTGAAGTTGTGAACCCTGTGATCCCTTTTGGGGACCAGTGGACCCAGCCTAATTTCAATAGCGAAAGGTCAAAATTCTATGATAGTCCCCGCAATGAGAGGATTTTAAAATACTTTTATAGCAGGAAAATCGGGGTGGGTAAGAAGTATGAGTGGCCTTCTGTCTTCGCCTCTTCCTTCGCCTTCGCCTTCCAAGAGATGCGCTTCTTCATTAGATTTCTTATATTGTTATTCTTATGTTTTTCTTATGATTTATTCATTCTTTATTCTTGTGTTTTCTTATGTTATTTTTTCTTTACCTTTTGTTCCTAAGTTACCTTATGTTTCTTACGTGCCTGCATGTTTTCTACTCTCTCACACACACACAGCAATAAACACAACGATACTATGTGTTTATCGACATGGTTTATAACAATATAAACACAACAAGAAGGAATAAAAAACATAAGAATATCTGTAATTTTAAAAAGCATACCAGTAACTAGCTCTGGATATTTAGAAATATTTAGAAATAGTTTTTCTGAAATATCTCCTGTTTCCAAATCATAATTTTTAAAAACGTTAAAGCACAAAATTCGAACAGCAATCTCACCGGGAACATAGGGATCCTCCCCCTTCAGAAAAATCTCATTTTTTGCACAAAGGTAGTAAACATATGTAGGACATTTAAAAAATATTTTCACATATGCTAATATGTATATTAGGTTTCTTCTCCGTTACTTCATCGTTTTCATGAGTGACACCACCGTTTGGTTTTTTGTACATGATAGACACTTTGAGGTCGTGCTAATTTATAGTTGCTCAAACGAAATTCAAGAGAAAAACTGATGATAAAGGAATATATTTATAACCATTCCAGTAAAGAAGATTTTCATACAGATACTCATGCTACTCTGCAGCAAAGTACAGGAGTACTAGTGAAGTACAGGACAGGAGTACAGTACTAAAGTTAAAGGCTTGATGTGTGGTTTTCAGTGCGGTTTTCTTGACCCCAGCAGGTGAACTCGCAGCCTTAAGCCATGCGTCACTTATGAAATCAAGGAATTAACTGACAAAAAATCGATTTATTATCATATGTGCAGTCCTTACCAACTTAATAATTTTAAATTACATACGTTTGACCACGCCTACCTTGATTACAGCAGCTGAAAATATTTTTTAAATGTCCTACATATGTTTACTACCTTTATGCAAAAAATGAGATTTTTCTGAAGGGGGAGGACCCCTATGTTCCCTGGTCAGGCATATAGGGCTTTTATAAAATAATTAAAAATTAATTTAAAATTAAAAAATATTTCGATTTTATAATAAAATTATAGCACCTTAATTTGAACAGGTTTGTTGCGAATTATCTTAATAATTTTCATGTTTATTAACCCTGAGTGTAGTGGACAGCGTCATAAAACAGCTTCAACAAATCAAAAGAAAACGTGATGCCAATTCGAGCGTGAGAGGATGGTGGCCAAAACCAACTGAGCATTGCCACGCCAAATATCTAAACTCTCTTAATAATTAAATCTTGTACAAGTACTCGTATATCTCGACAATGATGTGGAATCCTTTTGTACGCGCAAGATTCGGTTGGGAAGATATGGGTGAAATAAAATTCCAAAACTTATAAAAGCGAAAATGGATTCCAAAAGTTGCATTCTGGACCGATCTTCTTCAAATGTTGCACAGAATTGTGCGTTATGTCTGAAGATCATTTTGACACGAAACCACGTCTCCACTACGTTTTTCCAATTTTCAAACGAATTATAAAAATTTCAAAATTCGTTTATAATACGAAAACTGTCAGGGTCCCGCTTCCGTGTCAAAACAGTCTAACACGTTTCTGTGTATTTTTCTGCTGAATGTGAAGGAGATTGGCTCATAATCACACTTTAAACATTTTAGAATTTTTTATAGCCACAACTCCTCAACCGGATGCTGCGCTCAGAAATAGTGTTCTCGCCCATGTATTCAAATTATTGTACTTTAATGTTAGGCTACACATTGTCATAATACAATGCAAACTCGACATGCTCGAAAGTGAGTTTCTGCATTTACCTGAATTTAGCACCATGTTCGGGATTAACTTCACCCATCGCAAGGGACCTGAGGGCTAAGGTCACCTCCAGCCGACCGCCGGGAGCTAAAGATTACCTTGTAGTAATAACGGAGATATACTCGTACAAGTATTACCAGGCTATCGGGAAGCGTCATTCATAAATTTGTTTGATTTTGTGTTGCCAATTATTTGTATTGTCAGTTACATTCTACTTTCAACTTTTTACACGATCTAGAACTTGCACTTTACGCCTTAATACAGATTGCAACGAACTTGTTGAAACACGATATGTTATTTTCGGAATACCGCAATTTATTGTTTCTATTACAATGTTTAGTAAATAGGAATTGGAATAAGTATTTGTAATGAAATTCTTATGGCCAAGTTGCCAACATGGAGTACCAGTACCTTAGTTCGCGCCAGAATGATTATACGCGGCGGAAGAATGAGATAGTGGCCTTGATAAAAATAGGTGTGGCCTGAGGATAGTGACTGCGCATCCATAGTTGACAGATTTGTTGTGTACCAGTAATATAATTTTGGATCAGAATAACAGAAAAGGTCATCAGAATCTAATTTATCCCAACCAGAAGAATTGCAGATGAATAATATCTATTGTAATGTGCAGTATTTCAATGGTCAGGTAAATTTCAGAGCGCCGTCACGTTGTCGTAAAACGTGTGGCTGGCATTTTTCCTCGTTTCCCGGCAACTTCCTTGATCCAATCAAAACCATTAGGTGCGATTCTAGTATTGCGTAACGCTAGAGGGATAGGGGTGGTCTTGACTGTGTGCTGCTGTGTTACAGTACTTGGAAAAAATTACGATTAATAATAACGATAATTATTATCATTATTTAATTTACATACGTAAATAATATGAATAATTGAAATTTAATATAATAATTTAATATAATTTAGATTTCAATAATTTTAATTTAGTATAACTGAAATGCAGTTTTATAGTGGTGTGTTCGGGCTTTCCTTTACGTATGCAGCTGGCGGGTTGAAGGCTTTGTAAAGCTAGTGTTACAAGGGGTAACAAGTAGTAAAAAATCACGAAAAATTGCGTTACGTAGAATTTGAATCGCGCCTCATACTCGTTAAATTAATGCTTTAGTCATAAATCATTAACTACATCCGTAACAACCGTGACAGAGTAAGGTTAAAAAACCTATGTTTGGGAGAACGGGTAGACGCGGTCAAGTGCGCTAGAACCGCTGCAACGACGCGGTGGATGTTACGCTATTACCGAGACGATGCGCCTCGAGGGGAAATAAGGGGACCGGAAAGGAAAATTGTTGCCACGGGCCTCCATAGACATACATGGACAAGTTGTTCCAATGTGCGTAAATGACACGACACGCCTCGGCCAGCGGCCTCGATGCAAACAAAAACATAAATTAATCACCAAAAGCCGACGCCGATAAATTGCTTACGGATGTAGTCCTCCGTACACTGTTATCTACATCCGTAACATCTTATACACGAGTATGCTTTGTTCCGAATGATTGGCCGAACGGCTGGGCCGATTTTCAGGCAGAAAAGTGCGTTAGAATCGTCGCAAAGACGCCGTTAATGTTACGCTATTGCTTAATCGATGCGCCCCAACGGGGAAACAGGGGCCCTAAAAACGAAATTGTTGCCATGGGCCCCCATAGACGGACGTGGGCTATTCAGTTGTACAGCCGCAGCGACAGAGGCAGCCCGCGGCCTTCGGCATCGCTTCGGCAAACAAAATAAGAAATCGTGAAACCAGGGCAAAATAATAATAGTAATCAAGCTGGCGATTAGCTCAGTCTGTATTTTTTGCTTTGTTTCTCAGCTTTCTTAGGTTTCCTAATTTTCTTAGATTTCTTAGGTTATCTCAGGTTTCGTAGGTTTACTAAATTTCTTAGATTTCCTTAGCTTGCTCATGTTTCTTACGTTTTTAAGCCTTTTTAGAATTCTTACGCTCATAAAATGTTATGAATACAGAAGACCTATATGTTTCTTTAAATTGTAATTTTCGAAACTAATGTGCGCCACGAGTGTACGTACGGATGTAGATACCGTAAACTGGTTATATGAATACTAAACATCTCTAGCAGGTCTTTGGCCTCTCATGTTAGACCGCGGTAATCTCCGCTTCTGCTCATCCGATCTTCCTGCTTCAAAATGTTATGAAAACCTCCCAGTCTGGCGGGTGATCTAAGACCAGTCGTTGTTTGTTGAATTCAGAACCGCAATCCCAGTGGTCACTCAAAAGCTTGTTACCATGGATGCCATAGGTCTAACATGGGCTGGTCTGTTACCACGGTCACAATTATACTGTACTCAAACAAGAAACAGCTTTGGCTTCGCCTTTGCGTTTCTCATGGTCCAAAATCGGACCAAACAAATGATCAAGCTCGTCTTCAGTTCATTTGCAAGCTTCTGAGGAGACTATTAGCCGCTGTGCACGAAACTGCTTCAAACAAAATACTAACTGCTATTGCTTCCTCGAATACACTGCAACCTATGAATTTTAAACTGATTCATTTACCCAGTCGTAAGCCAATATTCATCCGTGCTCAGCTTGTTATCTACATCCGTAACCTCTTATACATGCTAAGCAGACGACCACGATGATCGGGCGAACGGATGGTCCGATTTTGACGCGGTAAAGTGCGCCGGAATCGTCGCAACGTCGCGAGTGACATAGGAACACTGCGAATATTGTGCGCCTCAAGAGGGCAAGACAGCCCCAAAAAAAACGACTTGTTGCTATGGGCCTCCATAGACATACATGAGCTAACGCAGAGCGACAAAGACAAATCGCGCCTTTCGGCCTCGCTTCGCTAACAATTCATGCAAAAATTGTAAATGCGCAACAAAATACCATTATGAACCTGGCGTTTCAAAATACCTAATCATCTCAGGTTCTGTTAACTAAGCTTTCTTAGATGTCTTCGGATTCTTAGATTTCTTAGGTTTCTTAGGTTTCTTAGGTTTCTTAGGTTTCTTAGGTTTGTGAGGTTTCTTTGTTTTCTTGGGCTTCTTAGTTCTCGTAGGTTTCTTATGTTTCTGAGAGTTCTTAAAATTTTCTTATGTTACTTAGGTTTCCTCAGATTTGTTATACTTTCAGTTTTCTTGAGCGGCCGGAATTAAGGTAGGGCGAAAGTTCGAAACGAAGAAGCGGCACAAAAGTCATGTACGGATGTAGATCCCGTAAACTGGTTATCTACATCCGTAACCATGTATACACGATTGATAATGTAGCCGATGTTTGGGCGAACGGCTGAACCGATTTCGACGCGGCCAAGTGCGTTAAATTCGTCTCAACGGCGCGAATGTTCTTACGCTACTGCGTCATCGATACGCCCCAAAAGGGAAGGAGTAGCCCCAAAAAACAAACTGTTGCCTTGGGCCCCCATAAACATACATGGTCAATGCATTGTCTGTTCGCGGACCGTTCGGAAAAACCGAAACAGACCGCGGCCTTCGGCATCGGCACGTTCCAAAGTATTGAAAATTTAAAAACCATGTGCAAAAATTAATCGCAGTCAATCCCACCAGCGTGATCGGTATACCTCGTATTCTTTCATATACGCTATTTCTTAGATATTTTAGGTTTCTTAGGTTTCTTAGGTTTTCTTCGGTTTCTTAGGTTTCTTTGGTTTCTTAGGTTTTCTTAGGTATTCTCAGGTTTCTTAGGTATTCTTAGGTATTCTTAGGTTTCTCAGGTTTCTTAAGTTTCTTAGGTTTATTAGATTTCTTGGGTTTCTTTGTTTTCTTAGGTTTCTTAGGCTTTCTTAGGGTTCCTCAAGTTTTCTTAGATTTTCTCTTTCTTAGTTTTCGTAGTTTTCTTAGCGGCTGGGACCAATGCAATCAACCGTTGCGAAGTGTGCATTGCGTAGCAAACTTGCGCCGCAAAAGTTTGTGTACGGATGTAGATCCCGTAAACTGGTAATTATATGAATACTGATTATCTGTGCCAGGACTTCGGCCCCTGTCCTTTGAGGCGAAGGATCTCGGCTTCTACTTCACCAATTTTGTTGCTTTAAAGTACATCAAAATTCTCTAGGTATAGCGGTGGATCCAAGAATGTTGACTTTTTGTCAAAATCATTTGTCTGAGTCCAGTGGTCAATCATAAGCTTGTTACCATGGACGCGATAAGAAATACACACTGTTCTAACACAACTTGACCCAGAACAGTAGAAATATCTGAGCTGCTACTTAACAATAAGTACGAGTACAATACAAAGTAAAAAAATCATGTACTGTAACTTAACACGTTAGTCATTATCACGTCAGACATCATTGCAAGTTATGTACTGTATGTACAAGTAAACATTCCGTGTTTTCGGTTTCGATTAACTTATGTAAAATGTATCATAATATAGATATTACTAAACATACGTACGGGTTTATTAATGTTATATGACAGTCTGTTAGCGACCGCAAACCAACACATGCTTAGAGTTACTTATTTTTTAATAGTCATCGGCCAATATTCATCCGTGCTGGGCTTGTAATAATTATACTACTGCATATCGTTGGATCCCATAATATTGAGAATGCACCGTTTGCTGTGGCGTAAACTTTCTTTTCGAGTTGAGTTGATATGAAGCATTCTAAGTTTCCTGAGTAACCAATAGAGATATCTACGAGATTCCACGTGTACGGAATCACGGTTCATCTCGATAAATACGAGTGCGGATTACGCAGATTAGCCCAAAAAAAAACTGGTTTTCAGAGAAAATATGGTGCGGATGAAAAATTTTAAAAAGCGAGGCTGTGAAGTCGGCTACAGTTGCTTCAGATAATTTGATAAAGTAACCACAGCCACAGGGTCGGTAGTTGGGTACCGAATTTACAGCTGCAAGTACGGTATTGGCGCCCTTAAAGCGCTCGGCCAGGTTACAACTCCGATGTTGCATGTACCTAAAAAACAGCAGGTTTATGGATTACCTGCTACGGTGATGAAATTATTAAAATATTAACTAAACTTCAAAAATTGTCATTTATTTTAAAATTTAAAAAATGGTAGGAACATTTGTACGTACTTTGCATAATTCGTAATGGGCTAGGCATTATTAATTTTGTTCTACGTTGGTCACACTTTTTGCGTTGTTTGCTGCGTTACATACTTTATGCATAACCCCAATGCAACATACACTTTGAGTTCGTACTTGAAAGGTGTCTGCAGATCATTTACTTCGTGTGTTGTTATCTTGCTGCATCACTTTTCAACTCTAATTTTCTGAATGGCACATTTTCAGAAGTACGTACTAAAAGTATAAGAAAAAAAACCTTCTGCTCCGTTTTCCCTGCATTCCGACAAATTGCTCGTAACATACAGCGCGTGCGCTCTTTGGATCTACATAGACAAACGCTGTCGAAAAATCTCTTTGGAACGGAGAAGGCTGGTGGACAGCGTTTAAGTCCTGAGAATAACATGGCAAAGGTCAGAGTTTTCTGCAAGCAGTTCCTTCTTATAATAACTGGAATGGATGTTTCATTTCACTTATACGTATACTATATACAGTACAATGTAGGACTAAATGGTCGCATAGCCCCATACCCAGCATTCTGTACGCAAGCGGTGCAGTGCACTTGTACGAAACGGACATTTTGAACTCAGTCGTACAGTGCACTGCGCTGCATTCGTACTGAATGTGGACATGTTGGGTATGCGACCATTTTGTCCTAACCATGGTTAGTATACTCACATTTTGTCAAACTACATGCAAAGCAGATCGAACGTCAGAGTGTTATTATTATTAATTTTGTATTCGTTATAATTGGGAACAGCTTGCGCAAGTTCCCACTAAACAAATTATTATTAACACGATTATTTGGCGTGTTTTTATCAAACTACAGTACAGTAACCAAATCCATCAAGTGGGGGCAGGTAATCCACCCCAAAACTGGGCTACCAAGACAATGCTCGTCGAAGTTGGTTCGATAATTTGGCGGATCGGTTCCGCTTTGGCCATCAGTTGGCAAGTACCGGCCTGGCCCCGGGCTGCCGTGTAATACGCTGCTTTGCAGTTGGGATGGAAATCGCACAGAGATTTGCACTTATCAGCCGAGATCCGAGCTTTTTTACCATTGGCGCCCTGTAGCACCCTTTGACCTTTCTGATTCTTCAGCTCCCCAGCATCGAGAGATGCGTTGTCGCGTTGGATGAACGGCTTGTTGGTAGATCCGATCACTTCGTAATCGTTAAAGACCTCTGTACCGAAAGTGCAGTCGAACTGTGGTGGAACGAGACCGCATTGTTTGTCCCTGATGTTGTAGGATGCCATTCGGCAGTTGCCGTCTTCCGTGCATTTGTTGTAGCAATCCTTCGCTGATTCGCTGGCGGTGTAGAGGATCTCCTGATCACAGTCCACAACGACGGATTTGACTTCCACCATCTTGCTTTCCTGTATTGTACAAACACATAAAATATTGCACAATGTTCGTCGTTAATAAAACAATGTCAATCAACACATGTCATTCAAGGGGGAAATTCCTAAGAGTTGTTTTCTTTCCGTCTCGTGGTGGCAGTTTAAGTTAGCCTAGATTAAGTTCACCCAACGTTATCACATTCGAATACGAAATTCTTAATGCAGTTCTCCAGCATCCAGGAATGCACGTTCTTGCGTTGTTTGACAGGCTTGTTGGTAGATCCAAATCCAATCGCTTCGTATTCGTTAAAATCACTTCCTATGGCATTATCATTTGGCTACTTACAAAAACGCCGGCTCCGTACGCGAGGGTAACTGTAACATGCACAGTAAGTACACTTGAACTTTTTGCATACATATTTAAGTCACTGAAAGTAAACGTTAATATCAATTACGATTCATAAATATTTTACCATATTTTAAACAGTAAACTATTTATTATCAATAGGTGGCTTTCTTGACCTTTGACCAGCTGCCAATAAAATTATGAAATCTGAATGGTCAGCCTTACCGATTCCAGCAAGAACAGCCACAGACAAGAAGGTTTGCATTTTCTTGTGGAGATGTACAGAGAACTGTTATGCTGCCGACTGGACGCTATGGTAATAATTAATCTGATGCTAGTCAACACTCAACACATATACGGTTGAACTATAATACGGTAATGTTACGCTCTACAAAAATTTTTGGTCCAGACTGCGTCGGCTTATATATCTGCCCATGCATCTTTGGTTTGTGTTAAGTAGTTGGTATTCGACTAGTGCTGACACCGAGTATCGTAACCTGTTGCTATCCTCATTAACTAATTCCCTGAAGTTAGCTGTAGACATCGAAACCATTTCACACTGACACTAACTTGGGGCGCTTCTATATACCTCGAAAGTGAAGTATTTTATGCTTGGTCTTGTCAGTTCCAGGCTCCGGCTGTAAGAAAAACGTATTTAATGGTTTTCGGTTACCGGAAGTGCATGACTACAAGACTGCAGCATATTAACAAAATTGATTCTGGTTTAAATAAAGCACAATATTAAACGGTTATGAAATTGTCTCTCTAGGCACAGTACTTTACTGTACTTAACCCAGGAAAACCGGGTACTAGAAGGGATAGGACTACGGTTTTGAAAATTTGCATTCTGGGATAAAAAAATTCAATTAAGAGAAAAATATTTTTTTCAAAATTTTACCGACCATAGGTCAAGCGGGAGATGACCATGTCGAAATAACACGCATGGGAACCATGTTGGGCCGACATGTTATCTAATTACGTTTATAACAATAGTTACAAAAATCGCACGGGATACGACAATAGCTCAAACAACAGATCTCAACGAGTACTTAAAAACAAGAGCATTGTGATGGTCATCGAGATGACCAGTGGTCAAGAAAAAAATAAAAATTGCAGAAATACAGATCGCAGCCGGCACAGTCGTTTCATCACACACACAGTCAGTAGAAAATGAGAAAAAATGGCAAAAAATTTGGAAAGCCTTTTCCAGGGAAGACAAACAAGTTTCGTAGTTAACGTTTGTGGTATAACGGGAAGCAGGCCTTGTGCAAGCGGACATTGCACTTCCCGCACTTCTGCCACGCTGAACTACGCCGGCAGTATTTGCAGTGGCCTCGCTTGCATCTTTCCACAATGTGATTGATCCCGTCAAACCGAACAGTGCTGGTCACTGGTGTTGAAGGTCCAAGACGAGCCGGCTTTTGCAGTCCCGACAGAAGCAACCCTTCGACAACTTCCGATAAAAACTGGATCTGTGTCAGGTTTCCTCCTACCTCTCTGTGGATACGCCACGCTGCTACAGTCATCAGAGAAATTGAGTTGGCAAAGAATGGCCACCACCACTTCTTCGTTCGAATCATCGGCCGGTAATCACTGATGAACCTGTCGCATAAATCCACACCGCCCATGTACTTGTTATAGCTGCCGATCATTTTTGGCTGGTCAATATTGACGTGCTTTTTCAGTGATGCGTTCCATCGTCTTGCTTTTCCTAGTGGCGCGACAGTCTCGCAGTTTGAAGCCAAACAAACTGGGGTATTGTCCTAACTTCAAATATGTACTGTACTAACTGAGCGTCGTCGTACGTAATAATAAATCCCGGCCAATAATTATCCGGGAGGAATAATCGGGGTTCCCATTGACTGTGCATATTCGCTGCCTTGCACAAATATGCATAATCGATGTCGTATTTAGGTTTAAACAGAGAGCGAAGATAATAATAACACGCAAATAGTTTTAGGTTAGTTTATTCATTGAGCACAATTTTGTGGTTAGCAGCATATTAGCAACATTGATTCAAGTGTGCCGTGCATGTTCATTGTTCGCTAGAATAGTAGGCGTTGAGAAGTTACTTAATTGTTATCTCTATAAGCGGAACGGGTATAATAAAGAGTAAATTTTCTGTAAGTGAGATCTCATGCGAAGAAATGCAGCATACGACACAGAAGGTGACGCAGCAGATACGGCATTAAGTATCAATGGTGTAAGCGAGTAGTCATACAAATGATGTAACGAAATGCTACGGCGGGTTATTTATACGATTTAATTTATATGGTATACAAATTGACGTCTAAGTAATAATAAAATATTAAATTAATAGTCATAATTTTGTTAAGTGATATACACCATGTATCCGCGCTTTATTGATTACACACGGACTGTATGCGTTAAAGGAAATGGCCCGGTACGTAGTGCAAAAAATGGGATACATACACTAAAACTTTCGCTTAAAACTGAAGTATTCTTTGATACCAAGAGTACTAGCATGCCATGGTACTAGTACCGTAGTACGATAAACATAGAACGACGTTGGTGTAGTATCACAGTAGAAAAACAAGACTCACGATATCAAACTTAAATAAAATCCAATGAAAAATCAACCATCAACAATCGGTAGCGCAATCGCAATATCATCCACCGGCGCCGAAAGCGGAGTTCGCCGCTGCTGTTCAAAATAATCTGTCAGTCAGTATGGATGCTATAGCTCCTGTTTCTTGTGCCAGAGCGCGCTCATCTTGCCGTCGATGGAGGCCCAGTGCTGTAAATCAACACCCTTATCCACCAGCGTCCCGTCTTCCGCCTGGAAGAGCGACCGCCCCGAGGCCTGGCTAGCTCCGGCGCCGTATGTCCCTCCAAGGCCGGTATAGGGCCGACTGGGACGCGCCTCCTCCCCGCCGCTGTAGGAGGAGACATTGCTGGGATAATAATAGTCGTCGGCGAGGGGTGGTGGCGCGGGCATGATGTTAGGTACCGTGCCGAAGCCCAGACGACAGCACTGGATCCTGCAGTGTACAGTACATTCGTTTTAGACAAGCATAAACTAACAATAAGTAACAGATATGTGCGCACATCGACGTACCATTCGATATGCGCTTCCGTCGTGTAAGGATTGACCTTCTTCCCTATTCCCGTCATTACGTATCCTGTTGTACAGTACACCTGCACCACAAAGTGAAATCACAATCACTTAACATAATTTTATGCTTACCGCGGCGGATGAATAAGTGCGTTTGAAATTAAGCATTACTGCAGTTAAAAACTTCAACACGCGGATCCTTGCAATAAAGCGCGTGTTTTTTCGCTTATTACGTATGTACTTACTTTAATACTCGTACATTTTACAAATATCCAACGCATGAAATAAATGTGCGACTTAATATACAACATTATTACATAAGGTTGGATAATAATAATTTATAACCTAGAAGTACAAGTGCGGTTTAAGCACTTGAGCGCAGAATGCTAAATGTACGTACCAGGAAATACTGGGGAGTATCGTAATATTCCCAAAATCTACAAAGCAGGGCACGATTTTTCAAGTAGCAGTCGCTGCATTGTAAAGAATAATTATAATTCATAATGCCATTATGAGGAGGTTGCATTACAAATCTATGAAATAAAAAAGTACCCCAACAAAATCTCACCATGCACTATTGTTAACCGTATACCCGCAATGTACTACTTAATACATCTAAGCCTTTTCAGTGGAATAATTTAAATTATGTAGCTGTGCAGAAAGCCTGCATTTTTGTTTAATAATGCAGGAGTCTACAAATAATAGTATGTACTGAGCATAATTTTATGAAGCAAGTGCTTTACTGTTGGATAAATGTTATTTTTAAGAATAAACAAAATCCATTAATACATACGTTATAAATGCATACATAAATATCAGAACAGTAAAGTTAATAATAAGTATAAAACAATGAGAACGCTAATATATAGTAACAAACATTACTGCATAACAGTAATAAAATACTGTTAATTGATAAAGTGTAAGTACGTACTGGTCATGCGTGGGGAAATAGTAACAGGAGGAATAATCGATGTAGTATCCCGTCGGTGCTTTACAGCATTTATACGGTGACGGATCATCCAGCGTCTTCCGGTAGATGTTGAAGGAGAAGTCATCGTCATAAAAACCTTGTGTTCCAATAATGTTCATAACACGGTGTATTATGGAATTCATTAGGATTATGGTATTATGGAATTATGGTTATCGTAATTACCAACAATAAAGCTGTCCACCGACGCATCATGGTATTTTGGTGTGTAGCAGAAGAACTGGAAGGTCATGTTCTTGGAGAAACAACTACCGAAATCAATTATATATTTAATTAAAATTTAAATAATTTTGATATGTAAAGTGTAATAGCATGTGCGATAAGGAGACACTTACTTGGGATAATAAGGATAAATGCCGTTGGTGGGCGGTTTATAAGGAAACATGTACTTGCACCACACATTGCCAATATTCTGCCAAATTAGGACAACAACAAGATATCTCATTAACCGGTACTTTTCTGCGCGGTGCAAACCGTGTATACCTGATAGTCACTCAATGAATCCCTGTCAAACGCAGCAATTTATATAAACATATGAAAAACGTTGCGTCGGAATGCGTACATACAGTATCCCGATGACGGCCTCCCCATCGAGGCATTCTACATTCCATTTCCGCCAAGGATGTCCGGGACCGGGGCCACCGTGGGCGCAGAATGTACTGATAATGTTATCACCCTGCAATCAAAGTGCTTCCAAAAAATACACAAAATAAGGCCTTCCGGAAAAACAACCGTTTTGTTACAATTTATCAAGATTCAGATCTATATTGCCACGAATGGGATACACCAGAGCCGGCAAACCAGAAAAGACTGACCAAAACCAATATTATATTCTGAATGACCGTAATCGAAAACCCGGCCAGATAGTATTCATTTCTTTTAAAACCTCTCCCGCTTCGAGCGCCACAGCGGAAGAGTTTTGACTACCTTCACCAAATGTAACTAAATTATTATAATATAATTATCATCGTGGTATTTTTAACCAGGCAATGTTGCCACGTAAACCAAATAAAATATAGTTAAAAAATGAAAGTATTTTCCGCTAATTAAAATATCGGAATCAATTTAATTAGCAGACCGTTGGCGTTATTGCGACAAGAACGACTACATATATCCAACGCTGTCATCGAGGACAATTTCTAAACAAGTGCCGGCCAAGCAGCGATAAACAGAACTACCGCCACTGTTCAGTGCACAAGCCCGTTAGTTGACCAAATTACAACTACATTCTAGTTAAAATAGCCCGCTAAGCCAGTGAGTGGCCGAACTGCCACTATGGATAGCTATGTGAGCGGTTGACCGAGCTGTCATTACTGTCCGATGCCGAGTGAGCGAGTGAGCGAGTGACCGAGCTGTCACTAGTTTTCAGTGTAAAAAGCCCGTTAGGGAACGAGTGACCGAGTTACCACTGCTGTCCGGTGCACAGAGCCCGGTAGGAGAGCGGGTGACCGCGCTGTCACTAATGTCCGGCGCAAAAAGCCCGTTCGGTGAAGGAGTAGTGAGCTGCCACTACTGTCCGTGTACAGATCCCGTTAGGTGAGCGGGTGACCGAGCTGTCAGTGGCGGCTGTCACTACTGTTCAGTGTACAAAGTCCGTTAGGTGAGCGGGCGACCGAGCTACCACTCCTGTCCGGCGCAGAAAGCCCGGGTGGTGAGCGGGTGACCGAGCTGTCATTATTGTATATTGTACATGAGTGACTGAGCTACCACTACTGTCCGGAGAACGGAACCGGTTAGCTAAGCAAGTAATCGAGCCACCACTACTGACCGGACATACACCACTGGGCACACACCAACTTCCAGTGAAAGGAGCCAGTGAAGTGATGAGTTACCGAACTAGTGATCCAGTGCGCTATCACTGTTTCGAATTTCACAACTTATAGACTGATATTTCGGCTTTCTATTCGGGTATGGGATATCGTAAAATTATCTGTATGTGCAGCGAAAGGGAATGCTTTCAAGGTTGAGAGAATCATGAACTGATTTTCATAGAAAATTCGTGTACCGATCATGTTTCGACGGATAGACTGATGTTAATCTAATAAATATTCATTCAAATCCAAATAAAATGGCCATGGACCACAAGAAACGCGGAGGCGAAGCCGAGGCTGTTTCTTGTAATACATTATTGGCAAAAACAGTGCTTATAAATACTTCAAGTAAATAAATTATATTTTATTAATTATTATTATTTAAGTTATTATTACTTTATTATTGTGATTTGAGCTATTAGATGGCATTTTTATATTAATTGGTAAGAGTGCCATAAGTATTTATTTCATAATTCAAATAATATTATGCAATAATATTGTGGATAATCACGTACCATAAATACTTAAACATAATACAGCATATAAACGTTCATTTTAACGTTAAAACAATAACTGATATCAAGCATAAATGGAAATTTATTAAATTACATGAACGATGACGTAAATAATTATTCTTGTTAATATTGAACGATTTAATACCTATTTTAACGCGATCACATACCGTTCCGTAAACAGTATACGTGCGGTAGTATCCCAACGTGGCGTAAGCCCCGCCCATCATCACCAAGAATACACATCCCACAACAATACATAGTGATGCCCGGGATAGCCTCCCCCTTCTTCCCGACGTAATACCGGGTGTCCCGGAAATACGGGCGGCGGCTTCTGTTTTCATGGCTGTGCTACTTATAACATTGGCTGTATTGTCACGGCTACCATGTTCACGAAAGCCGCGACGTGGATATACGGCGCGCTCGTGTTGCTTAATTGTTTGTCATCATCATGAGATGCTGCAAGACAATTACCTCGCCAATCTGGGCGTGCTGTACGGTAATGACGGTGTGGGCCTGCAGAAATGGAACTAAGAAGCGGAAGACAACAGCGTCTAGTACATTATCTGCACGGTTTCACGGTCATGCCGCAATAAAGGCCAAACGCTGCCGGCATCTGCATCCGACAGTGCTCGTTCATCTCTCGTAGTCGTCAGTCACTTGCCGAAAACATATTTTTATTGTGCGCATCACAGATTCCTTTCGGTTTTTTTAACCTACCACGTTTTCGAAAATCTTGAAAGTAATTTTTAAAGATTATGATGAAGTTGTTAATTGCCTCATACTCGTACAATAATTATTATATGAGGGCAGTTACAGTACATATGTAAAAGATGTTCGTATCTTTTTGTTTACCCGACATAATTACTATCTTGCATTCGTGTAGTACTGTCAAGGCCCTTGCAGATACAGGTATCTGTTAACATGTCGGCGTTCTATCGAACTGCAAAATCTTTAGTAATATTTTTAACTACATTTTCATTTTACATTCACATCTTAATAAAAATTTGTATTTAAATTTACACAATTTTACGTTACAAATTTTAAATTACCCGTTTTAATTTTCATGATTACATAATTACACTCACATTTTAATGTGCATACTTTATTTTGTCCGTGATTGCTTTCTTCTTTGCGTACTTTCTTCCGAATACCGTGTGCCTCGAGTTTGGTTTGACCAATAAAATTATCGCATGTGATCATATAAGCTACCTCTACAATCATCGTTATACAGTGAGTAAACTTTCTGCATGTCCAATTTTATATAAAATAATGTTTCACACATAGCAAAATCACGTAATGCAAAATCACATAATGTAAGAATAATATACAATTATAAGAATTGCGTTGCACATTTGCAGTGTGTTGAGGAATGGGAGCAGCGCTGACATGACAATATATCTGTACGACTGCATTTTAATATCTGATGCACATTTTCCAAGCTTAGTTTTGTTAATTACTCTCTATGTTAAGAAAATTTCTTACCAGGGGCCGCTCAGAGGCTACCCCACCCCGAAAAACCTGATTTTTTGTTTGAAGAATAGTGGGCCGTGAGAACACTTAAAAAATAGTTTCACCGGCAATGATCCAGTGGGCGTAGCCAAAAGCCAATTCCGAGGATGCAGCATCATGCAAGTATCGTATAATTATATTGTCAATGTACAATGTACATATTACTTTGTAATTTTCTGGCCATAGTATTCCTGATTCGGCTGCGAAGCGATATTTTACGTGCATAATGTTTGTACCCCCTCCCGTCTGCAGATTTGCATTGATTTTATCTTTGAACAGCGGACTTGCCAACATAAACATTCTAGAACGTCTTGCAACTTATCGGCCTAGGCCTACATAGCAAATGTGTACCTGCAGGCTGCAGCAGCTCAACATACAAAATATTGTAGCAGCAGAAGTAATTAACTGCTGAATACGGACAGAAGAGTAAATGCCAAACACGACAAACGTTTTATACGAGTATTACCAAGCCGGTCATACAAAACGGAAAAAAGTGATGGAGCAATACTATAAATTGAGTGTTAACGGGCAACACTATGACTGGAAAATACGTATTTTAAACCGTATATTTTTAACCGCCGAAAATACGTACTTTTAATCGCCGAAAAAAGAATAGTTAGTAGCTACCCATAACTACTCGTATGATACTTTGGTTGGTTTGCTATAATAAGTCAAAGGGAGATGGTCATTCGGTTGAACAATCGTAAATCACAAATTCCCCAAACCGATTTCCTTCCTCTTTTTTTCTTTTGTCGGTTAAACACAAAGTAGTTTAAATTTTTAAAAAAGATGAACCGTTTTCCTGCAGTGGCGTCGTTAAAAAAGCAGTAACGACTTATCTGAAGCCACGCCACGCGAGCCCCTACCCCTATTAACAGTGTTTACGTGATGCCACAAACCTGTGTGTTTCGGGTGAGCGACTCACAAAAAACGGCATGTGATACACAAGTGTGCATGTCGGTTCATTCAAATCACTTTCGCCCCGACTGATAACGTCTGGGCAGTTAGATTTCTATCTGGTGCAGCACGAAGGCTGTCGTTATTGAACATATTTCTTTCCGAAAACGCAAAAACTGATTTCCGCTGACAAACATTTGCCGGCAATTGAGCTTTCCCATTGCCATCGTCCAAACCTGCCTAACATGTTTTGTATTATGTACTATTTCATTATTTTGATTATACTTGTATAAAAACACAAATGATCTTTATTGTAAAAAATGATTTTAATTAACGTTACACGTTCACGAAACTTAATCCAACGGGTGGCATGAGCGTGCAACGATGATTAAGCTATGCGCTAATTAACGCATATGTATAAGAGTCTGAAATGCACTTTACGCCTGCTAATCCTCCATCTGCACTAATTAGACTGTGTGGAGCTGAACTGCTTATATATAAAAGATCAATTGCTAAATTAAAGACCGAACACAAAACAGTAGCAGTATTGCTGATGAGGCGTTGTGACTGTTATTATAATCATTACACCGATTAACTTACTACCTGCGAAAATTGCATGGGCTACATTAGTTCTTTTTCTTGTTATTGGAAAGGTCATGTACTAATTAATCACTGCATATGCTGCTAATGCGTATAAAGCCATGCTTTAATTGAGAGTGCCATTTGTATTGTACGTAGGTGCGGTATATACTGTACGTTGCGACCGACGTGTACCTTGAAGATTAGGTTTTTGCAATTATCATCAAGTATTCATACTCATCGTTAATAATAATTGACTACAAAATCTGCTTTACTTGTTTTTTTTTGTATTCCAGACAATTTAACAATATCGATTCGCGCACTGGACAAAGCATTCTCCATGTTGTTCCACTTGGCAAAAATATTTGTCAAAAACTGAATATATGCTAATTATTATTTTATGCTTAACTTGTATACAAGATCATAAAAAAATATCACGCTTTCTAATATGGAACAATAAAGGGATGCCGGTTTGTGGTGTCCGGCTCGCAAATCGTATTGTCAAAGTGTCCGGAATGCAAAAAACATCGATTAACTATAGAGTACAGTATAATTATGCCTAAAACGCAAATTTCATGACTTTTGTTCCTACTTCCTTGCATGTTAGCCAGAACCGCAACGATCATACTACCTATTTCATTATATTTTCCCGTAGCAGTGGCAGCGCGTAAAACTAAAATCACCACTTATCACTAACTAAATTATTAACCTTCGAAAAGTGATGCGCAAAATATTGCTTTTTGACGTGCACCGGTTAAAAGAAGACATAATTATCGCAGACGCGCACGTACGCGTAAGTAATATTGATGCGAAAAAAACATCTTATCAGCAACTCACACAGAGTCGCGCCGTAACGGCTGTGGATTCTATGCGCTGTTCCAATGCGCGCGGCAAAACTTGTCAGTGAGGTACCAAGTCAAACTTGACTTTTCAGTCGAATGCATTCTGCACCGCATTGCACCGTATAAAAATATATCTTCGTTGATCCGCTGCTATGTATTCAAAATTTAACTATCCGGCATCTAATAATTAATACGAGCTAATGTATTAGTAAATTCGCAACATCTTCTAAGACATTCAGTCAAAGATTGTTACACCGTTTCAGCTGTTCTTTCTGGGCAATGCACCTTTAGCCCTTGCTTTAACTTTTGATCGTCGATAATGTGCAATGCACTGTTATTGCCTAATTACTCTGTACATCATAATCCAAGTGCACCTGTACTCTGTAGTGCTATCAAGTAAGGTTGTGGTGGATGCCGATGGCTTGTTACTGGCTTAAAGCACAGAAAACTGGGAGTTTGTTAAGTCTCCAGGGAGGCGTATTCCGTTGAAAATGCACTGTAGGTACAAAATGGGCCAAGTCTTAAAACCTTTAAAACTTTTAAAACTTTTAAAACTTTTAAAACTTTTAAAACTTTTAAAACCCTCTGAAAATGAAATCAGCTGTATATCACAACATACTAATTATGTATACTTTCGTTACCGTTTTACCAATCGCGAACTAGTATTTCGCTCAGACACAAGTAGGCAACAAACACCTGCACTCAGATCGTTATTAAAAACCTTTTGACCTACCAAAAAGCAAATGCAAAAAATTTATAATTAACAATACACGTACTTAAAAGATAGAAACAACATTTTTTGTACGATCAGGATTTATGTAATTTCGACCGGAACACTTCATGTCCGACTTCGACAAAATTTGTATCGTTACAAAATTTGTTTTTTCCCGGCAAAAAAGTGCTGTTTTAAGGGGTACTGTGACCCACGCGAACTACGGGTGACTACACATGTGGATACAAGTAGCGAAATAAATATCAATCACCTATTTACTTTTAATGAGGTATACACTACACCAAAATTGTTGCAGTCATACATTTGTCATACATTTGCCATTTAATTTGCCACCATACATTTGCGGGCCAGTGCGGCTAGGCAATCCAACTTTGTTAGTTTGATTTAATCAGTTTATTTATTTTTTGAAAATGAAGTAAATTCATTTTCGTTTTGTACATGTACATTTGCACAGTGGCGGCCCATGCAGCCGCGCGTGTGTGGCGGTGACAAGAGATATATCGCGTAGTGCAGTGGCTCGCGTGGCGTGGCTAACCCTCGTCAAAAAGTTTGTTCTAAACTGTATCAACATACCTCAAATGTTAAGCCGTTTATCATAAAATGTGCCGACGGCATGATTTTGGCAGCAGATCTTATGTAATGATTTATATCAATACGAAAACGTATCGAAGTTACAAAATTTATTCGAAACTCGTACCCGCGTCTTCGCAACTGTTTAGCCAAAACGTTAAACAGAAGCAAACGTAATACAAGAAGAACAAAAGCTTTGTCGGTCGACCGACATGTAAACAATATCTCGCTCAGCAAGAAACAATTACAAAAAGATAAAAAAAATAAACCAGCCAAATTCCAAGATCCTGCACTACGCATACGAATTACTCCGCCCATGTTAATTGCCAACAGTCCCGACGCCGTCGCGGTTCTGGTTCATTGCAAATAACAATGCAAGA